TGACACACGCAGTGTGACATGAACGGATAAAGCCTGTTGATTCTGAGAAAAGCTGTATCCTTCCTAGGAGTTATCACTCGTGGTCGACGTTAACGTCATTAGCAGGTGTGTTTTTTCACGGTATATATATAGTATGACCAGAAATTATTGAGAATTTTAGGAATATGTTTAATTTGATTTCTAGTATAAACAACCTTGACCAGCTTTCAAGTGCTTGGTTTCATTCAAGAGAGACAACTCCGTTAATCCTTTTTCATTAGTTTGTGAAGAGTTATGCCCCTTTGTTTACTTGCTAGCAGACGACATTTTCAGTGCTCCTCAGTATGGATGATTTAGAGAAGAGGAAGTTGATTTTTGAGTATTATAACGAGGACACCAGATCAGCTAAAGTGATTTCAAGTAGAACAGGCATCTCTTTGTCCACTGTTTATCGTGTTTTTAAAAATATTGCAAATGGATATGGCATTGAGCACCAGGGAGGCGCAGGTAGGCCCAGAAAATTGACTGTCGGTGACAGGAGGCGGCTTGGTATTCTTGTTTCTAAAAACAAACGAAGGAGTTTAGAAAACTTAAGGCTGGATATGATTGATAGAGGGACTGTGGCTGTCTATAAGGAGACAATTAGAACTGAGCTGCATGCAATGGGTTGGTAGAAAAGTCGTGGAATTCCATCACCGATCATGAAACCTGAACAAAAGGAGCGAAGGTTGAACTGGTGCTTACAGCATAGAAATGTTAACTGGGACAATGTGATTTTCTCAGATGAAAGTTCTGTGTGGCTGTTTCCTAATACACTGAAATTCTGGACCAAAAGTACAGTCCGAAATTTAACGTGTGGGGTGGCTTATCTGTGTTAGGGGCAACGCCCCTCTGTGTATTTGAAGGGAATATGAACAGTGAGCGGTACACAGATATTCTCGGGGGACATTTACTTCTATCTGCTCACGTGTTCTATGGAAATGTTTGGATTTTCCAGCAGGACAATGACCAAAAACATCGTTCAAAGCATTCACAGGCCTGGTTTCGGACCCAAAATATGACATCATTAGATTGGCCAAGCTATAGCCCTGACCTAAATCCAATAGAAAATGTTTGGGGACTTATGAATGAAAGTGTCAATAAGAAAAATCTGACAAATATTGCTGAAATGAAAGAAGAGGTGGTCCGATATTAGGACAGCATGGACCACGACTTTCTAACTTCTTTGATCAGTAGTATGCCCCGCCGCATTGAAGCCTGCCTTGCTGCCCATGGTGACTTGACAAAATACTAACTGTTCACCTGTCTTTGAATCTGGAGTTATGTTCTGCTAATATGCACATTTAATACGTGAGTAATGAGTGAAAAAAAATATAAAATTACAATCTTAAATTCTCAATAATTTCTGGTTGTACTGTAAAGTAAACGCGGCCTCTTTGTACCATAAGGCCGAATCGACCACGGCCCCTGGCGGCAAAGTGGAAGAGACGGGACCGATTCTGTTCCCCAGTGAATGTGACACAATAGACATGGCACGGTGAGTGAATAGAGTGGAAATTCATGCAGTTCAAATATTATTTGAAAAGGTCGTTCCATATTATACAGTCAGTCGACCTGTTTAACATAAGGCACACTTCGCATGACACCTGCTCCTTATTGTGCTGACATGAATAATGTCGACTTGTTCCAGAAACATCTCAGTACAACAAAACTATTGTTCAACTATTACCCATGAGTGCACGTGTACTCTTACAGGAGGCCCTAAGACGGCAGACCTAAATGTCGGGAGGAGAAACATACACCTGGTGGGGTTCACGTGCAGGTATGTGAAGAGCAAGAGGTCAGGAGGAGATCCATACACCTGATGGGGTTCATGTGCAGGTATGTGAAGAGCAAGAGATCAGGGGGAGATCCATACACCTGGTGGGGTTCATGTGCAGGTATGTGAAGAGCAAGAGTCAGGAGGAGATCCATACACCTGGTGGGATTCATGTGCAGGTATATGAAGAGCAAGAGGTCAGGAGGAGATCCATACACCTGGTGGGGTTCACGTGCATGTATGTGAAGAGCAAGAGGTCAGGAGGAGATCCATACACCCAATGGGGTTCACGTGCAGGTATATGAAGAGCAAGAGGTCAGGAGGAGAAACATACACCTGATGGGGTTCATGTGCAGGTATGTGAAGAGCAAGAGGTCGGGAGGAGATCCATACACCTGGTGGGGTTCACGTGCAGGTATATGAAGAGCAAGAGGTCAGGAGGAGATCCATACACCTGATGGGGTTCATTTGCATGTATGTGCAGAGCAAGAGGTCAGGAGGAGATCCATACACCTGGTGGGGTTCATGTGCAGGTATGTGCAGAGCAACAGGTCAGGAGGAGATCCATACACCTGATGGGGTTCACGTGCAGGTATGTGAAGAGCAAGAGGTCAGGGGGAGATCCATACATCTGGTGGGGTTCATGTGCAGGTATGTGAAGAGCAAGAGGTCAGGAGGAGATCCATACACCTGGTGGGGTTCACGTGCAGGTATGTGAAGAGCAAGAGGTCAGGGGAGATCCATACACCTGGTGGGGTTCATGTGCAGGTATGTGAAGAGCAAGAGGTCAGGGGAGATCCATACACCTGGTGGGGTTCATGTGCAGGTATGTGAAGAGCATGAGGTCAGGAGGAGATCCATAAATCTGGTGGGGTTCATGTGCAGGTATGTGCAGAGCAAGAGGAGTCAGGAGGAGGGGTTCACGTGCAGATCCATACACCTGATGGGGTTCAGGTATGTGAAGAGCATGAGGTCAGGGCGAGATCCATACACCTGGTGGGGTTTACGTGCAGGTATGTGAAGAGCATGAGGTCAGGAGGAGATCCATACATCTGGTTGGGTTCATGTGCAGGCATGTGAAGAGCAAGAGGTCAGGAGGAGATCCATACATCTGGTGGGGTTCATGTGCATGTATGTGAAGAGTAAGAGGTCAGGAGGAGATCCATACACCTGGTGGGGTTCACGTGCATGTATGTGAAGAGCAAGAGGTCAGGAGGAGATCCATACACCTGGTGGGGTTCATGTGCAAGTATGTGCAGAGCATGAGGTCAGGGGGAGATCCATACATTTGATGGGGTTTATGTGCATGTATGTGCAGAGCATGAGGTCAGGAGGAGATCCATACATCTGGTTGGGTTCATGTGCAGCTATGTGAAGAGCAAGAGGTCGGGAGATCCATACATCTGGTTGGGTTCATGTGCAGGTATGTGAAGAGCAAGAGGTCAGGAGGAGATCCATACACCTGATGGGGTTCATGTGCAGGTATGTGAAGAGCAAGAGGTCAGGAGGAGATCCATACATCTGATGGGGTTCATGTGCAGGAATGTGAAGAGCAAGAGATCAGGGGGAGATCCATACACCTGGTGGGGTTCATGTGCAGGTATGTGAAGAGCAAGAGTCAGGGGGAGATCCATACACCTGGTGGGATTCACGTGCAGGTATATGAAGAGCAAGAGGTCAGGAGGAGATCCATACACCTGGTGGGGTTCACGTGCATGTATGTGAAGAGCAAGAGGTCAGGAGGAGATCCATACACCCGATGGGGTTCACGTGCAGGTATATGAAGAGCAAGAGGTCAGGAGGAGGTCCATACACCTGATGGGGTTCATGTGCAGGTATGTGAAGAGCAAGAGGTCGGGAGGAGATCCATACACCTGGTGGGGTTCACGTGCAGGTATATGAAGAGCAAGAGGTCAGGAGGAGATCCATACACCTGATGGGGTTCATTTGCATGTATGTGAAGAGCAAGAGGTCAGGGGGAGATCCATACACCTGGTGGGGTTCACGTGCATGTATGTGAAGAGCATGAGGTCAGGAGGAGATCCATACACCTGATGGGGTTCATGTGCAGGTATGTGAAGAGCAAGAGGTCGGGAGGAGATCCATACACCTGGTGGGGGTTCAAGAGCAAGTGCAGGTATATGAAGAGCAAGAGGTCAGGAGGAGATCCATACACCTGATGGGGTTCATTTGCATGTATGTGCAGAGCAAGAGGTCAGGAGGAGATCCATACACCTGGTGGGGTTCATGTGCATGTATGTGCAGAGCAACAGGTCAGGAGGAGATCCATACACCTGATGGGGTTCACGTGCAGGTATGTGAAGAGCAAGAGGTCAGGGGGAGATCCATACATCTGGTGGGGTTCATGTGCAGGTATGTGAAGAGCAAGAGGTCAGGAGGAGATCCATACACCTGGTGGGGTTCATTTGCATGTATGTGAAGAGCAAGAGGTCAGGGGGAGATCCATACACCTGGTGGGGTTCACGTGCATGTATGTGAAGAGCATGAGGTCAGGAGGAGATCCATACACCTGGTGGGGTTCATGTGCAAGTATGTGCAGAGCATGAGGTCAGGGGGAGATCCATACATCTGATGGGGTTCATGTGCATGTATGTGCAGAGCAAGAGGTCAGGAGGAGATCCATACACCTGGTGGGGTTCATGTGCGGGTATGTGCAGAGCAAGAGGTCCGGAGGAGATCCATACACCTGGTGGGATTCATGTGCATGTTTGTGAAGAGCATGAGGTCAGGAGGAGATCCATACACCTGGTGGGGTTCATGTGCAGGTATGTGCAGATCAATAGGTCAGGAGGAGATCCATACACCTGGTGGGGTTCACGTGCAGGTATGTGCAGAGTATGAGGTCAGGAGGAGATCCATACACCTGGTGGCGTTCACGTGCATGTTTGTGAAGAGCAAGAGATCGGTTGGAGATCCATACACCTGCCAAGCCAATTGGTTGTCAGAGGGGAGATAACTCACTCATGCCAAGGGAGATAACTTTCCCAAGCACGCCAGGTCTAGTTTACTACTGAGTATTCGAGTGGTGTCCCCCCGCCATTGCTGGAATATTGCTAAAAGCAGCATAAAACTAACCTCACTCACTCACTCACCCTCTCACTCACTACTACTCGAGTAGTGGCTCTACCCGAATCTTTAATCCGTACCTCGGGTACCTGTTTCAACACTACAAAAACGATTGTTAAAAAAACGAGTGTTTATTACGAGTCTCTCCGTTTTGTGAAACAGTTCATCTGAGCGTTAATCATCAATATTAATCGATCATAGATACAAAGTGCGCTTATCATTCGATTTTATCCCACATTTTATACGGCGTATGGTTATTCATCCGTTTAACCAATCATTGTTACAGCATATATTTATTCATCCGTATTAACCAATCATTGATACGGCGCATGGTTATTCATCCGTATTAACAAATCATTGATACGGCGCATGGTTATTCATCCGTATTAACCAATAATTGCTGTATTATTGCTACGGCGTATGGTTATTCATCCGTATTAACAAATCATTGATACGGCGTATAGTTATTCATCCGTATTAACCAATCATTGTTACAGCATATGTTATTCATCCGTATTAACCAATCATTAAGAATTAATGTGAATCATCTGTATTAACCAATCATTGATTCGACGTCATGTGAATAATTCATATTAACCAGTCATTGTTACGGAGTATCTTATTCCTAGATACATGCCCAGAATGTGTTGTTTCCGGAATAACGAGTTCTGATCTGACGATGTTTGTCTGTCTTTGAGATTATAGCCATCGTATGTGCAGTATATAAACACCTTTAACCGGGAAGCATACCAATATGTACCCTCCACCCCAATATGTTATCTGTCATCGTGGGTGACTTGAGGAGGTCACAGTCTGTCCAATTCTTTTTTCATCTTTGCTATATCATCCGGGTAAACCCGACAACATCCCCCGATCCACGTGGCCCCGCGATCCACCCACGTCTTCACCTGGTTGCCCAGGGAAACACAGCCGCTTCCAGGAATCCATCTGAAAAAGACAAAGTGAGTATGGTTTTAGGCCGCAATATTCCAACAATGTCAGAGAACGCCAGGCATGGGCTCAACACATTGTACACATTGGGGAATGGAACCCAGGACTTCCGCTTGACGCATAACCACTAGGCTAACCCACTGCCCCGTAAAAAACATCGAAACATTTGTCTCAAGTTTTCCCAGCTGATTAATAGTCATTACAATCCTAAGAACTTTCAAAATTATTCGCCCAGAAACCACAGATTGGTATATGGTCTCTGATTCATGTCTGATTCAATCTTTATTACGATCAAAACGAAATAAACCAGTTCCAGGACCCACGTGCCTGAAACCATCTCGTAATACTATTCAAGCTATGGGAATTAAGATCTAAGCTAAGATCGCTATGCACTAATGTTCCCCTGCTCGACGACCCTGTTCAAGGCCGTGTCACAGGAAACAGCTGATCTCACCGACACTGCAATGTGCACCAGATGGGGTGTTTTTCATGAGGAAACCTCCTCAACCATGAAGTGTAATGCCTTGCACTATAACCTAGACGTGGATGTGCAGCCCACTGCACTGAGCAGCCGCTCACCTGACACATCGGATGGGTTTGTACTTTGATAACTTCCCTGGTGTCTGGCGCATATACTACCCAAATTACCGTCTCATGGTCACCGCCAGAAATCTCCACTAAATCTCCACTACCTAAGTTCAATCTCTCTCTCTCTCTCTCTCTCTCTCTCTCTCTCTCTCTCTCTCTCTCTCTCTCTCTCTCTCTCTCTCTCTCTCTCTCTCTCTCTCTCTCTCTCTCTCTCTCTCTCTCTCTCTCTCTCTCTCCCCTGTCCACTCTCTCCAGAATCCACTCGTCTGTCCACAATTAACTCCTCTCTCCACAAGCCTCCCCTCACTCACTCTCCACATTCAATTCACTCTCACCTCAATCCACTCTCACGCTCTCACTAATCCACTTCTCCCCACTCTCTCAATCAATCCTCCTCTCTCCACAATCCACTCCTATCTCCACACAATCCCTCCTCCCTCCTCCCGATCCCACACTCCCTCCCTCTCCACAATCCACTCCTATCTCCACACAATCCGCTCCTCCCTCTACCCACGATCCACACCTCCCTCTCTCCACAATGCTCTCCTCTCTCCACACAATCCTCTCTCCCCACGATCCACACCTCCCTCTCTCTGCAATCCACTCCTCCCTCTCTCCGCAATCCACTCTTCCCTCTCCCAACAATCCACACCTCCCTCTCTATCTCTATCTTAGAAGTACAGAGAAATGGTTTTATGATGGTCAGGAAATGAAAGTTGTTTCAGAGCTCGTTCTTCAAGAAGTATTTAGGTTTAGGAAAATTTGTGTCTACAAAAGCTGTGTTAGGGGAGTTGGGCAGATATCAAATGGCTGTTAATTATTTTAGTCGTTGTATCAGGTACTGGTGTAGACTCATGAGAATGAGTAGCTATAGGTATCCTCGAGCTTATGAAATGCTTAAAGTCTATTAAGAAAATGCAAATGTTAACTGAGTTTCTCATGTTCGTTCACTATTGTTTAAATTTGGATTCTCTTTTGTGTGGATTACACAAGACTTTGGCGACGTAGATGTATTTATGACAACGTTTAAGCAACGCTGCAAGAATATCTGTTTCCAAACCTGGAGCAGTGATATTGGTAGTAGTTCTTTTCTTAAAGTTTATTCATCGTACAAGACAGTTTTGGAAACAGAAGTGTATATAACTGCGTTGTACACCAATAGAGACTTGAGGCGTATTTTATGTAAATTTCGTCGCTTATCGCACAAATTGGGTGTCCAACAGTTGCGTTTCAATAAAGACATTGTCGATAGTACTATAGCAATATGTATCAAGTGTCATTTAGATGTCGTAGAAGACGAATACCACTTTTTATTAGTCTGTCCTTATTAACATACAAGTCGGATGAAGTTTATACCTGGATATTATCAAATACATCCATCTGTCTTTAAGTTTAAGCAGTTGTTATCACAAAAAATATGAATGTTATTAAAAGTCTAGCAATCTATCTGAACAGAAATCTACCTGTTTGACCGCTATATATTGATGTAGTATATTTATGTATATGTACCGAATGCGCACAAACAAAAACTTATGTATTTTTTGTACTCTCGGCCATGAGGCTATTATGCGAATAAACTCTCTCTGAAAAAGAAGGTATCTCAACATCTCCTCAACATCTGCTTGTACCACAAAGGGCATCAGTTTTACTACAACATAGGAACACCTCCACAATTCAACAAACGTGTCCCCATTTCCAACAAAGACAGCCCCACGGCCTGACCCCCCAGCTTTTGTTGTGGTAATGGCATAAGCTGTCACAAAAGTCTTGGATTCAAACCTCACATAAAGGTGAACCAACACAATTCCATTGAGAAAATGACATAAAATCAGGTCTAATCCTCTTTTTGTCATTGTACTCTGAAAACGCCAGCCTTGACATAGATCCATGTTAATAGCTTCTGCTCCAGAAAAACAACCTTTGGTGTCAAAAGGGGAGTATTTGACGAGCTCGACCTTGTGGGTATTTGCAGTTTTCAGTGCACTGTGCAGTTGCAGTGATTCCGACACCAGGGTATAGCTTCTGCATGTAATTTGTCACTCATGAATGGCAGCGAGGCACAGCTGTGTTCCAGGATACATCACATAAGAGTAGCGAATAATAAAAAGATTTTGTGAACTGAAGAATAGTGATGTTGGGAATTGGTTGAAATCTCACAATTGATGATTGCTTCATTACCAACGAACAATCATCGAAAAAACTTGGTTAGCATCATTTTTAAGATTTTCCTATCCAGGTTGTTATTGCAGAAAAGTATAACATGATGCTACTTGTTACATTAAAGTGATGACTAATATATCATGAACATAAACTTCCTGGAGTCTTAGAGAAATATTCAGTCATGACTTTTCAGTTAGTGAAGTGAGTTTTCTAAGAATTAAACATGTTTTCAGGCCCTGACAACTTCTAAGATATGTTCCATTGTTAAGTATTTCAATGACTAAAACAGTAGTTCCAAAATCGTTTCTGTTCGATTGTGAGAAAATGTGATCGATAGCTTGGTCGTTTGGTCACTGCGACCAATCTTCGATTATTTCAATTAATCGGAACACCACTAGAGAATAGTGCCACTTTTCTCATCAGTCATGAATTCTTGGTAGGAAACTGCTAAAGTGAGTGAGTGAGTGAGTTTAGTTTAACGCCACACTCAGTAATATTCCAGCTACATGGCGGTGGTTTACTGGTAAAGACATTTATATACGAATTAAAAATAAATGCAAATGTGCCATATACATTAAAATTTTATTAGTAGTATAAATCTTATATATTTTACTTATATTACTGTGGTCTTCAAAGTGAATGAATGAATAATTATTGCTTTACGCCACATCAGTAATATTACAGCTATTTGCTGCAATCTGAGTGAGTGAGTGAATGAGGCATATATTGGATCTGTTAGTGAGTGTATTGGCAGAGGCCCTGGTGATAGGGTAAAGAGTGGATGGACATGTGTAGAACACGAGTTACTGAGTGAGTAAGTGAATACACAGGTGTCTTGCCTATCACAAGGGAAAAATGCCAATCTACTCACTAACCTATCTACAGGACACCTGCCAATCTACACACTAATCTATCGACAGCACACCTGCCAATCTACACACTAACCTATCTACAGGACACCTGCCAATCTACTCACTAATCTATCGACAGCACACCTGCCAATCTACTCAGTAACCTATCTACAGGACACCTGCCAATCTACTCACTAATCTATCGACAACACACCTGCCAATCTACCCACTAATCTATCAACAGGACACCTGCCAATCTACTCACTTATCTATCAACAAGACACCTGCAAATCTACTCACTAATCTACCAACAGGACACCTGCCAATCTACTGGTAACCTATCACTTGGACACTTGCCAATCTACTCACTAGTCTATCAACAAGACACCTGCCAATCTACTCACTAATCTATCAACAGGACACGCCACTGCCAATCTACTCAATAACCTATCAACAGGACACCTGCCAATCTACTCAATAACCTATCAACAGGACACCTGCCAATCTCTACTCACTATCATCTACCTGCAACTACTCACTTATCTATCAACAAGAATCTACTACTCACTAATCTATCAACAGGACACCTGCCAATCTACTGACTAATCTATCAACAGGACACCTGCCAATCTACACACTAATCTATCAACAGGACACCTGCCAATCTACTCACTAATCTATCAACAGGACACCTGCCAATCTACACACTAATCTATCAACAGGACACCTGCCAATCTACTCACTAATCTATCAACAGGACACCTGCCAATCTACACACTACTAATCTATCAATCTACACACACCTGCACAATCTACTGACTAATCTATCAACAGGACACCTGCCAATCTACTGCTAATCTATCAACAGGACACCTGCCAATCTATCACTAATCTATCAACAGGACACCTACTGAATTCAATCTATACACACCTAATCTATCAACAGGACACCTGCCAATCTACTCACTAATCCTATCAACAGGACACCTGCCAATCTACTCACTAATCTATCAACAGGACACCTGCCAATCTACTCACAATCTATCAACCTACTCCTATCAACACACTGCCAATCTACACACTAACTACTACTTGGACACCTGCCAATCTCCTCAATAATCTATCAACAGGACACCTGCCAATCTACACACTAACCTATCAACAGGACACCTGCCAATCTCCTCACTAATCTATCAACAGGACACCTGCCAATCTACACACTAATCTATCAACAGGACACCTGCCAATCTCCTCACTAATCTATCAACAGGACACCTGCCAATCTACACACTAACCTATCACTTGGACACCTGCCAATCTACACACTAATCTATCAACAGGACACCTGCCAATCTACACTAATCTATCAACAGGACACCTGCCAATCTACTGACTAATCTATCAACAGGACACCTGCCAATCCACACACACCTGCCAATCTACTCACTAATCTATCAACAGGACACCTGCCACCTACAACACTAATCTATCAACAGGACACCTGCCAATCTACACACTAATCTATCAACAGGACACCTGCCAATCTACTGACTAATCTATCAACAGGACACCTGCCAATCTACTGACTAATCTATCAACAGGACACCTGCCAATCTACTCACTAATCTATCAACAGGACACCTGCCAATCTACTCACTAATCTATCAACAGGACACCTGCCAATCTACACACTAACCTATTACTTGGACACCTGCCGATCCACTCACTCACTATCAACAGTACACCTGCCAATCTACTCACCAACCTGTCAACATGACACCTGCCAATCTACTCTCTAATCTATAACTTGGACACCTGCCAATCTATTATCACTAACCTATCACTTGGACACCTGCAACACCTCACTAACATATGAACAAGACATCTGCCAATCCACTTACTAACCTGCCAATAACCTATGACCAGGTCAAAGTTGCTGGACACACTTCAGCAGGCCACACACATGTTAACCTTGCCACATTATTACCCTTCATCTCGAACCCACTGCTCCCCGCTGTTTGGCTTGACCACCACGCCCTTCTGTAGTTGAAGGTGCTGGACACTCTCCAGTAGGTCACACACATGTTCAGGTGCTGTACAGTTCAGACCAACAGCCAGCACCTGGTCCGACTGAACCACGCTTCGCACAGCATCCGAAAACCTCTCTCCATCACATGTGACACATGCTTCCTACATGAACAAATAGTCCATGAATTGTGAAAATACTCTTCAAAAGAAGTTGGAAGACCAACTGTTTTACAACAGTTTTGGCATGACAATGACAATGTGTGTGAGTTTAGTTTTATGTCACTTCTAGCAAAACAAACAATATCTTGGCATTGGACACCAGAAATAGCCTTGACACATTTTACATTGTAGGGAATAGAACCTTTGTGTAACAAGTGAACACTTTAACCATGAGACCACCACACCATCCCATAGTATAACAAATACTATAATAATATTTAAGAATTGGATGGTTCTTTCCTTCTGTGGAGTTGCATTATGTTACAAAGTTCATTATGACATCTATACCGCAAATGAAAAACAAGTGAATAACACATTTATTTTCTTCCCTGATAAAGGGGAAACAGATGAATGGCATTCAAAAGATTATCTGAGACTTGTACAAGACCTTATAAGTGATAAGAGTGATGTGTGTTTGGGAGGTTACAGAGTGGTGGTGTGATGTCGGTTTTCCCTGACTGTGGCCAATCTCAACTGATGCCATGCTTCTGATGTCATGAAGAAGTCTGGAAGACTGAAATACTGAAATGCCTTACCACTGAGTTTGGTCAACAATCAGAGATATTTCTAGAATTATTACTTCATCTTTGCATGGCAATTTTAAAAATTCATTTTGTAAACTGGGTGATTTGTGAAAATGACATGTCATACACTTCTCCAAGAAAGCTACGGCAATCATCAGTTTCCCAAATATGAAATCACACAAATGTCAAAGGTCAAGGATATAGGGCCATCAACAATATCAGCAACATGTATTGCTTTACCTGAAAAAACTGTTTCAATATTTTATCATTTATGTGTCTTCTGTGTCTTTTGTGGAAGTGTTTATATGTGGCTTGGTATAAAATATGGGTCCAATGAATCCCAGCAAGACTTCAGAAACATTCATTTTACTGTTTTTATGTACAATATTGTTGTTAAAATATTGCTGTTAAAAATACTTTGCAATTCTTCAATTTATTCTCCTGATATCAATGTAATAACAACAACAACAACAATAAGAAGAATGGTCGATGTGTATTGCTCTTTTACAGTTTTAGATGTTAGATAACATGTTAACAGTGTACCTTTATCATCCCTGTCAGTGCCAGATGTTAGATAACATGTTAACAGTGAACCTTTATTATCCCTGTCAGTGCTAGATGTTAGATAACATGTTAACAGTGAACCTTTATCATCCCTGTCAGTGCTAGATGTTAGATAACAAGTTAACAGTGTACCTTTATTATCCCTGTCAGTGCTAGATGTTAGATAACATGTTAACAGTGTACCTTTATCATCCCTGTCAGTGCCAGATGTTAGATAACATGTTAACAGTGAACCTTTATCATCCCTGTCAGTGCCAGATGTTAGATAACATGTTAACAGTGTACCTTTATTATCCCTGTCAGTGCTAGATGTTAGATAACATGTTAACAGTGAACCTTTATCATCCCTGTCAGTGCCAGATGTTAGATAACATGTTAACAGTGTACCTTTATTATCCCTGTCAGTGCTACATGTTAGATAACATGTTAACAGTGAACCTTTATTATCCCTGTCAGTGCTAGATGTTAGATAACATGTTAACAGTGAACCTTTATCATCCCTGTCAGTGCCAGATGTTAGATAACATGTTAACAGTGTACCTTTATTATCCCTGTCAGTGCTAGATGTTAGATAACATGTTAACAGTGAACCTTTATTATCCCTGTCAGTGCTAGATGTTAGATAACATGTTAACAGTGAACCTTTATCATCCCTGTCAGTGCCAGATGTTGGATAACATGTTAACAGTGTACCTTTATTATCCCTGTCAGTACTAGATGTTAGATAACATGTTAACAGTGAACCTTTATTATCCCTGTCAGTACTAGATGTTAGATAACATGTTAACAGTGAACCTTTATTATCCCTGTCAGTGCTAGATGTTAGATAACATGTTAACAGTGAACCTTTATTATCCCTGTCAGTGCTAGATGTTAGATAACATGTTAACAGTGAACCTTTATTATCCCTGTCAGTGCTAGATGTTAGATAACATGTTAACAGTGAACCTTTATTATCCCTGTCAGTGCTAGATGTTAGATAACATGTTAACAGTGAACCTTTATCATCCCTGTCAGTGCCAGATGTTAGATAACATGTTAACAGTGTACCTTTATTATCCCTGTCAGTGCTAGATGTTAGATAACATGTTAACAGTGAACCTTTATTATCCCTGTCAGTGCTAGATGTTAGATAACATGTTAACAGTGAACCTTTATCATCCCTGTCAGTGCCAGATGTTAGATAACATGTTAACAGTGTACCTTTATTATCCCTGTCAGTACTAGATGTTAGATAACATGTTAACAGTGAACCTTTATTATCCCTGTCAGTACTAGATGTTAGATAACATGTTAACAGTGAACCTTTATTATCCCTGTCAGTGCTAGATGTTAGATAACATGTTAACAGTGAACCTTTATTATCCCTGTCAGTGCTAGATGTTAGATAACATGTTAACAGTGAACCTTTATTATCCCTGTCAGTGCTAGATGTTAGATAACATGTTAACATTGTACCTTTATTATCCCTGTCAGTGCTAGATGTTAGATAACATGTTAACAGTGAACCTTTATCATCCCTGTCAGTGCCATATGTTAGATAACATGTTAACAGTGTACCTTTATTATCCCTGTCAGCGCTAGATGTTAGATAACATGTTAACAGTGTACCTTTATTATCCCTGTCAGTGCTAGATGTTAGAAAACATGTTAACAGTGAACCTTTATTATCCCTGTCAGTGCTAGATGTTAGATAACATGTTAACAGTGTACCTTTATTATCCCTGTCAGTTCTAGATGTTACATAACATGTTAACAGTGAACCTTCATTATCCCTGTCAGTGAATCTGTGTGTCACTGATTTTCATTCTCAGCTTCCCAGGGAGTATACAACCCTAGCTGGCTTTGAGAATAAGAACGGGGCAGTAGCGTTACCTAGTGGTGAAAGTGTTAGCTCGTCACATCGAAAAATACCCAGGTTCGATTCCCCACATGGGTACAATGTGTGAAGCCCATTTCTGGTGTTCCCCGCTGTGATATTGCTGGAATATTGCTAAAAGCGGCGTAACACTGAACGCACTGACTGAGAATAATAACAGATTAGTTACCATCCAAACCATTCACTGCTGGGAAGCCAGACAAATTTCAAAGAACTTGTCACTTGACAGAAGGGACAGAACATGTTTTACATATGCTTCAGAGTGCAACAGCACCAAGCCCTCGAAACTGTCACGTGTAAGGCTGTCAAACACGTGACAAGACACAGTTCAACTTCACATGCTTGTGACCTGTGTTTTCTACAGAGGACCAGCTCTAATGATGTATGACCTCTGTATGTCAAGGCCAAACCCAGATTCAGTAGGATATTCCAACTACCTCTCATTGTCATTTGTGCAGCTGTATGCATTAAAAACTGCTTTCCGATATAACATGTATATCAATTTAAGGATCAGAATGTTGCTACAGGTACATGATATAAAAACACATTATCAAGAATAATATGCACTAAATTGTATGCACATGGAACTGGATTTCATGCCCCCACCACTGCCAGCCCCGCCAGTATTGTACAGATTTATTTAAACATTACCTTGCTGCAAACACTGCAAACTTAGTTTCCCAAACACATGTATGATTTCTGTATCAAGTACAACGCCTGGAATAGCCATCTTTTGTATGTGTTACACTCAGCCTACATCAAATATGGGTGTATACTTTCTCTTTGTATCAGCTCATGTTCCCAGGAGTGTACAGTAAATATTACGGCCTCCTCAAGACATTTTGTGACCAGGCTAGCTTTGAGCTTATTAAATAGTTTTATGTACAAAATTGCTGCTTGTCAAGTTCATACTGTCATATGTAAGGCCCTATAAGGCTACAAACTGTCAAATGTAAGGCCTTGTCAAGTTCATACTGTCATATGTAAGGCCCTATAAGGCTACAAACTGTCAAATGTAAGGCCTTGTCAAGTTCATACTGTCATATGTAAGGCCCTATAAGGATACAAACTGTCAAATGTAAGGCCTTATCAAGTTCATACTGTCATATGTAAGGCCCTATAAGGATACAAACTGTCAAATGTAAGGCCTTGTCAAGTTCATACTGTCATATGTAAGGCCCTATAAGGATACAAACTGTCAAATGTAAGGCCTTGTCAAATTCATACTGTCATATGTAAGGCCCTATAAGGATACAAACTGTCAAATGTAAGGCCTTATCAAGTTCATACTGTCATATGTAAGGCCCTATAAGGATACAAACTGTCAAATGTAAGGCCTTATCAAGTTCATACTGTCATATGTAAGGCCTTATCAAGTTCATATTGTCATATGTAAGGCCTTATCAAGTTCATACTGTCATATGTAAGGCCTTATCAAGTTCATACTGTCATATGTAAGGCCTTATCAAGTTCATACCGTCAAATGCAAAACCCTATTAGGATACATACTGTCAAATATAAGGCCTTATCAAGTTCATACTGTCAAATGTTAGGCCCTATAAGGATACAAACTGTCAAATGTAAGGCCTTATCAAGTTCATACTGTCATATGTAAGGCCTTATCAAGTTCATTTTGTAATATCTAAGGCCTTATCAAGTTCATAGTGTCATATGTAAGGCCTTATCAAGTTCATACTGTCATATGTAAGGCCCTATAAGGATACAAACTGTCAAATGTAAGGCCTTATCAAGTTCATACTGTCATATGTAAGGCCTTATCAAGTTCATATTGTCATATCTAAGGCCTTATCAAGTTCATAGTGTCATATGTAAGGCCTTATCAAGTTCATACTGTCATATGTAAGGCCTTATCAAGTTCATACTGTCAAATGCAAGGCCCTATAAGGTTACATACTGTCATATGTAAGGCCTTATCAAGTTCATACTGTCAAATTTAAGGCCCTATAAGGATACAAACTGTCAAATGTAAGGCCTTATCAAGTTCATACTGTCATATGTAAGGCCTTATCAAGTTCATACTGTCATATGTAAGGCCTTATCAAGTTCATACTGTCATATGTAAGGCCTTATCAAATTCATAGTGTCATATGTAAGGCCTTATCAAGTTCATACTGTCATATGTAAGGCCTTCTCAAGTTCATAGTGTCATATGTAGGCCTTATCAAGTTCATACTGTCATATGTAAGGCCTTGTCAAATTCATAGTGTCATGTGTAAGGCCTTATCAAGTTCATACTTTCATATGTAAGGCCTTATCAAGTTCATACTGTCAAATGTTAGGCCATATAAGGATACAAACTGTCAAATGTAAGGCCTTGTCAAGTTCATACTGTCATATGTAAGGCCCTATAAGGATACAAACTGTCAAATGTAAGGCCTTATCAAGTTCATACCGTCAAATGCAAAACCCTATTAGGATACATACTGTCAAATATAAGGCCTTATCAAGTTCATACTGTCAAATGTTAGGCCCTATAAGGATACAAACTGTCAAATGTAAGGCCTTATCAAGTTCATACTGTCATATGTAAGGCCTTATCAAGTTCATTTTGTAATATCTAAGGCCTTATCAAGTTCATAGTGTCATATGTAAGGCCTTATCAAGTTCATACTGTCATATGTAAGGCCCTATAAGGATACAAACTGTCAAATGTAAGGCCTTATCAAGTTCATATTGTCATATCTAAGGCCTTATCAAGTTCATAGTGTCATATGTAAGGCCTTATCAAGTTCATACTGTCATATGTAAGGCCTTATCAAGTTCATACTGTCAAATGCAAGGCCCTTTAAGGTTACATACTGTCATATGTAAGGCCTTATCAAGTTCATACTGTCAAATTTAAGGCCCTATAAGGATACAAACTGTCAAATGTAAGGCCTTATCAAGTTCATACTGTCATATGTAAGGCCTTATCAAGTTCATACTGTCATATGTAAGGCCTTATCAAGTTCATACTGTCATATGTAAGGCCTTATCAAATTCATAGTGTCATATGTAAGGCCTTATCAAGTTCATACTGTCATATGTAAGGCCTTCTCAAGTTCATAGTGTCATATGTAAGGCCTTATCAAGTTCATACTGTCATATGTAAGGCCTTGTCAAATTCATAGTGTCATGTGTAAGGCCTTATCAAGTTCATACTTTCATATGTAAGGCCTTATCAAGTTCATACTGTCATATGTTAGGCCATATAAGGATACAAACTGTCAAATGTAAGGCCTTGTCAAGTTCATACTGTCATATGTAAGGCCCTATAAGGATACAAACTGTCAAATGTAAGGCCTTATCAAGTTCATACTGTCATATGTAAGGCCTTATAAGGATACAAACTGTCAAATGTAAGGCCTTGTCAAGTTCATACTGTCATATGTAAGGCCTTCTCAAGTTCATAGTGTCATATGTAAGGCCTTATCAAGTTCATACTGTCATATGTAAGGCCTTATCAAATTCATAGTGTCATATGGAAGGCCTTATCAAATTCATAGTGTCATATGTAAGGCCTTATCAAGTTCATACTGTCATATGTAAGGCCTTCTCAAGTTCATATTGACATATGTAAGGCCTTATCAAGTTCATACTGTCATATGTAAGGCCTTATCAAGTTCATACTGTCATATGTAAGGCTTGATCAAGTCCACACTGTTGAATGTATTGACCTATCACGTAAGGCCTTTACAAGCCTGTATAACCTTGACGTATTCTCCATGACAATCAAACAAGCAAACCACTAGGCTAACCAACCATCCTGGGATAAGGGGAGAAAGCTGGTACCTTGCAGGAGAAGCACACCATTGCCCTCGCGTCAGGGTAGTCAGACAGCAGATCCACAATGGCCTCTGCCTCCTTCTGGACTGGGATGGTGTCCACAGCCAACATGTCTGCTCCGTGATTCAGTAGCGCCTCTACACTGGGACGGTGCCAGGTCTTCAGTTCCTGTCACAGAGTGAGTGAGTGAGTGAGTGAGTGAGTGAGTGAGTGAGTGAGTGAGTGAGTGAGTGAGTGAGTGAGTGAGTGAGTGAGTGAGTGAGTGAGTGAGTGAGTGAGTGAGTGAGTGAGTGCACCCAGACAGCCAGGACAATGTGACACAAGACACCAAGGTCAATGTGACATAACTGGATACCCATGTCACAGTGACACCATAAGACCATCAGGTCAAAGTGATACAAAAAGATAGCCAGGTCAATGTGACATAACAAGATGCCCAGGTCACAGTGACACAACAAGACACCCAGGCCACAATGACACAACAAGACACCCAGGTCAATGTGACACAACAAGACACCCAGGTCAATGTGGCACAACAAGACAGACTTGCAGTGGCCCAGACACCCTCTTACATAACACAGACAAGACAAGACATAACAAGACACCCAGGTCAATGTGACACAACAAGACACCCAGGTCAATGTGGCACAACAAGACAGACTTGCAGTGGCCCAGACACCCTCTTACATAACACAGACAAGACAAGACATAACAAGACACCCAGGTTAATGGGACAAAACAAGACTCCAAGGTCACAGTGACACAAGACACCCAGGTCACAGTGACATAACAAGACACTCAGGTCAATGTGACACAGCAAGATACCCAGGTCAAAGTGAGGCCGTAAGTCCACCCAAACTCAGTATGAGATCACAAAGATATCATTAATACCTCAGTATGAGGTCAGATTGAGATCATCAACTAAACCAATCCCAAGTATGAGGTCATACCCAATGTCAATATGAGTGCTATCTTTGACGACCCATGTTAGAATATGTTTTCAGCAACCCATACCTCTAATAGGCAACAAATACGATCAGCTGGTGTCATTGTGCCCCGTTGTATCAAGACCGATACTCGTGGTGTCATTAATTCAATTTCTTTTATTCAGGGTACTGATGAGATCAAAGGCCTGTAGTACAATACAGGTGTGTACAGTGATGTCAATCACTGGATTGTCTGGTCCAGACTCGATTATCTACTGATCATCGCCACATAGCTGGAATATTGCTAGGTGCGGCGCTAAACAACAAAGAGATCAGTAAGAGGTCACAGCTCATCAATCAAGCCCACCTCAGTATGAGGTCACAGCTCATCAATCAAGCCCACCTCAGTATCAAGTCACAGCTCATCAATCAAGCCCACCTCAGTATGAGGTCACAGCTCATCAATCAAGCCCACCTCAGTATCAGGTCACAGCTCATCAATCAAGCCCACCTCAGTATCAGGTCACAGCTCATCAATCAAGCCCACCTCAGTATCAGGTCACAGCTCATCAATCAAGCCCACCTCAGTATGAGGTCACAGCTCATCAATCAAGCCCACCTCAGTATGAGGTCACAGCTCATCAATCAAGCCCACCTCAGTATGAGGTCACAGCTCATCAATCAAGCCCACCTCAGTATCAGGTCACAGCTCATAGATCAAGCCCACCTCAGTATCAGGTCACAGCTCATAGGTCAAGCCCTCCTCAGCATGAGGTCATAGCTCATCAATCAAGCCCACCTCAGTATGAGGTCACAGCTCATCAATCAAGCCCACCTCAGTATGAGGTCACAGCTCATCAATCAAGCCCACCTCAGTATCAGGTCACAGCTCATCAATCAAGCCCACCCTCAGTATCAGGTCACAGCTCATCAATCAAGTCCACCTCAGTATCAGGTCACAATGAGACTCTCAATCAAGCCCGACTCAGTATCAGGTCACAATGAGACTCTCAATCAAGCCCACCTCAGTATGAGGTCACAATGAGACTCTCAATCAAGCCCACCCTCAGTATGAGGTCACAATGACACTCTCAATCAAGCCCACCTCAGTATCAGGTCACAATGAGACTCGCAATCAAGCCCACTCTCAGTATGAGGTCACAATGAGACTCTCAATCAAGCCCACCTCAGTATCAGGTCACAATGAGACTCTCAATCAAGCCCACCTCAGTATCAGGTCACAATGAGACTCTCAATCAAGCCCACCACAGTATCAGGTCACAATGAGACTCTCAATCAAGCCCACATCAGTATCAGGTCACAATGAGACTCTCTAACAAGTCCATCTCACTAAGAGGTCACAATGAGACTCTCAATCAACCCCATCTCGCTAAGAGGTCACAATGAGACTCTCAATCAAGCCCATCTGGCTAAGAGGTCACAATGAGACTCTCAATCAAGCCCATCTCAGTATGAGGTAACAATGAGATTCTCTAACAAGTCCATCTCGCTAAGAGGTCACAATGAGACTCTCAATCAAGCCCATCTCGCTAAGAGGTCACAATGAGACTCTGAATCAAGCCCATCTCGCTAAGAGGTCACAATGAGACTCTCAATCAAGCCCATCTCGCTAAGAGGTCACAATGAGACTCTCAATCAAGCCCATCTCAACATCCGCTACGAGGTCACATTGAGACTCTCAATCAAGCCCACCTCAGTATCAGGTCACAATGAGACTCTCAATCAAGCCCATCTCAGTATGAGGTAACAATGAGACTCTCTAACAAGTCCATCTCGCTAAGAGGTCACAATGAGACTCTCAATCAAGCCCATCTTGCTAAGAGGTCACAATGAGACTCTCAATCAAGCCCACCTCGCTAAGAGGTCACAATGAGACTCTCAATCAAGCCCATCTCAGTATGAGGTCACAATGAGGCTCTCTAACAAGTCCATCTCGCTAAGAGGTCACAATGAGACTCTCAATCAAGCCCATCTCGCTTAGAGGTCACAATGAGACTCTCAATCAACCCCATCTCGCTAAGAGGTCACATTGAGACTCTCAATCAAGCCCACCTCAGTATCAGGTAACAATGAGACTCTCAATCAAGCCCACCTCAGTATGAGGTAACAATGAGACTCTCAATCAAGCCCATCTCGTTCAGAGGTCACAATGAGACTCTCAATCAAGCCCATCTCGCTAAGAGGTCACAATGAGACTCTCAATCAAGCCCACCTCAGTATCAGGTCACAATGAGACTCTCAATCAAGCCCATCTCAGTATGAGGTAACAATGAGACTCTCTAACAAGTCCATCTCGCTAAGAGGTCACAATGAGACTCTCAATCAAGCCCATCTTGCTAAGAGGTCACAATGAGACTCTCAATCAAGCCCACCTTGCTAAGAGGTCACAATGAGACTCTCAATCAAGCCCATCTCAGTATGAGGTCACAATGAGACTCTCTAACAAGTCCATCTCGCTAAGAGGTCACAATGAGATTCTCAATCAAGCCCATCTCAGTATGAGGTCACAATGAGACTCTCAATCAAGCCCATCTCGCTAAGAGGTCACAATGAGACTCTCAATCAACCCCATCTCGCTAAGAGGTCACAATGAGACTCTCAATCAACCCCATCTCGCTAAGAGGTCACATTGAGACTCTCAATCAAGCCCACCTCAGTATGAGGTAACAATGAGACTCTCAATCAAGCCCACCTCAGTATGAGGTAACAATGAGACTCTCATCAAGCCCACCTCACTATTAGGTCACAATGAGACTCTCAATCAAGCCCACATCAGTATGAGGTAACAATGAGACTCTCAATCAAGCCCATCTCGCTAAGAGGTCACAATGAGACTCTCAATCAAGCCCATCTCGCTAAGAGGTCACAATGAGACTCTCAATCAAGCCCATCTCGCTAAGAGGTCACAATGAGACTCTCAATCAAGCCCATCTCGCTAAGAGGTCACAGTTAGCTATGCTATTAAATATCCACTAGGGGTGTCACGATTCAGTTCGGTTCATCGAAAATCGAATCGATAGATGTACGATCGAGATTCAATCTCGGTTTCAAATGCATCCATTTCGATTCAATTCATAAAGTACTTACATTCTACAATTTTATATTATTTCACCTGAAATCGTAAGAAATTATGTTGTTAATTCGCTGCTACAAGTGTGGCCAGTGAAAGGGTAGATCTCCACTGCCGGAGACATTGCAAGTACCCAGAGGACATGTCTTTCAAATGAAAATTCCTTGCACAGAACATGATCATTCCAAATGACTTACAGTGATATTACAGTCACAATGAACACTTGACACCAGAGTTCATGACTGAAACTTAATTTCATGATCACTTGTTCAGTGAGTATTTGTTGACAACTTGTCTTGACAGTGTTCTAATTGTGCATTGTGCCAATTTTCAAAGTTTGTCCTCAGCTTTGGTGAATCAAATCGAAATTAATGGAATCGAATGATTTGAATCGATAATCGTATCGAATCGAAGTGAGAGTGAATCGAGACATCCCTAATATTCACCCCATATGGACATGAGGTCGCAGTCAGATCACCAATCCACCCCATTTCAGCATGAGGTCACAGTTTGATGAAATATGATGGATCAGTATTATCAAGAAGATAACTTTCACCAAAGCATATGTTGTGAAGACCAGTCCCGCAAGAGTTATGTCCCTTGAATTTGATCCCTCTATATCCCACATGTTCTCAAGTTTTCATCAGAACCCATGCTTCCAGTTCAATACACATGTTCCATCTCTATGTGAGGCCAGTTATCCCCGTTTTGGGGAAGGTCAACAAGAAATGTTCCCAAAGTTATTGTCCTAAAATTCAGTGCAAGTGGTCAGTGTTTCTATTTTAGTTCTATTCTCCAGCCTGATACTGCTGCAAATGAACAAATAGTGAGATACCCAATGATAAATGATTTTGTGTTTCCTTGATTGAAAAAAACATTTTTATATGCATTACTCATGAATTCTTACAAAATACTGATAAAACCTCTTGGTCTTATTTCACCTTCTAAATCAGAATTTGACAACTTTTGGTCAAAAGTCAACTAAACAGTACGAGGCCTTAGAATAAACATGTTTACCAACTCTAAATGAATCACATCAGTCAAATTTTCTCATTTATTCCACAGACATACAGCATCAATTCACTTCAGCTCTAAAACATCCATTTAACAAGACAATGTCTCACCTCTCTGGTGATCTTCTCAGCATAGGCCCCTGTGTACTCAGAACCATCATGTAGCACTGCACCGTACGGCCCCACACATCCCGCAACGACCGCATCACACCCTATAACACAACACCCTGTGTACTCAGAATCATCATGTAGCACAGCACTGTACGGCTCCACACATCCCATAACAACCGCATCACACCCTACAACACGACACCCTGTATAATCAGAACTATCGTGTAGCATTTTAACGGACAGCCCTACACATCCCGTAACAACTGCGTCACACCCTACAACACGACACCCTGTATACTCAGAACCATCGTGTAGCACTGCACCGTACAGCCCCACACATCCCGTAACAACCACGTCACACCCTACAACACGACACCCTGTATACCCAGAACCATCGTGTAGCACTGCACCGTACAGCCCCACACATCCCTTAACAACCACGTCACACCCTACAACACGACACCCTGTATACTCAGAACCATCGGGTAGCACAGCACCGTACGGATCCACACATCCCGTAACAACCGTGTCACACCCTACAACACGACACCCTGTATACCCAGAACCATCGTGTAGCACTGCACCGTACAGCCCCACACATCCCGTAACAACCGTGTCACACCCTACAACACGACACCCTGTATACTCAGAACCATCGGGTAGCACAGCACCGTACGGATCCACACATCCCGTAACAACCGCGTCACACCCTACAACACGAAACCCTGTATACTCAGAACCATCGTGTAGCATTTTAACGGACGGCCCTACACATCCTGCCACCATGTACAAGCTGCCACACACTCACAAATACTTGCATGCATGTTTCTTTTACAGTGCAGTTTTCTCTCCATGTTTAACCCTATTTAATATAACAGAAACTCCTGTTACAACTGATTTATAATAAGCTGAATCAAAATTGCTGTAACTGCCAACTCAGGTGAGAGTCTGTACATATAAGTAACGATTAAAGATGGATATTTGTCAGACATACCTGTTTCTGTGCAAGCCTCTCGTGCAAGAACCACGCTCTGACCTATAAGTGAGAGGGCTGTGTCATGGTCAACTCCCAGATGGTCAACGAAGCCCTGGACTGAGGCCTGATAGGACGCTGTGTCCAGAACCTCACTGCCGGCCAGCAGGAAGCTGAGGAGAGATGTCGACAGAGATATAGCTTTATGGAATACAGTTGAAAGGGGAGGGGGGAAACATACTGAATACATGTACTTACTGAATGCATTTAATTTACAATGCAATCAGACTCTGAATACATATAAAATTGACGAATCCAGGAACTTTGCCCACAAAAACTTTGCCCACAAGGAACTTTGCCCACAGGACTGACTGACTGACTGAGTTTGGTTTTACGCCGCTTTTAGTAATATTCCAGCAACATCACGGCGGGGGACACCAGAAATGGGCTTCACACATTGTACCCATGTGGGGAATCGAACCCGGGTCTTCGGCGTGACGAGCCAACGCTTTAACCATTAGGCTACCCCACCGCCCCTTGCCCACAGGAACTTTGCCCACAAGGAACTTTGCCCACAGGAACTTTGCCCACAAGGAACTTTGCCCACAAGGAACTTTGCCCACAAGGAACTTTGCCCACAAGGAACTTTCCCCACAACAATTTTACAGGGGAGGAACTTTGCACACAATATAAATTTTAATACTCACCCACATTAAAACCCTGCTCAGGATGTGTTGTTCATAAAAGAGATCAAACTATATTGCATTTCACCAGAGACCTCTGCTCGTTAGTATTTTCTTTTCTAATTACAATCAACACTTAACTTACTACTGCACTAGAAAGGTTTCAAGAACGTTCTACATTCATTGGAAATGGTTAAATGTATTGGAATGAACAATGAAGTGCTATTCATTTTTAACTATCAATGTGCTATATTGGGTTGTAGTTAAATACAATAACATCATATCATTTATATCATGTTGTATTATTATTGTGGGGAAAGTTCCTCCCCTGCAAAAATTGTTGTGGGCAAAGTTCCTGTGGGGAAAGTTCCTGTGGGGAAAGTTCCTGTGGGGAAAGTTCGATACACCAAAACTGACAGAAACAAATAATCTCATTTCATTTAGTCTCTGAATATATAAAATTTTGACAAAAGCTAATATGGAAATGGGTGAGATGGCACATTTTACTTACACCCGCACTAGAATTTACGCCCGACATATGCATATGGCCACAGGTGTTTTTATAGGAAATTGTAAGATATCGGGTGTTAATATATAGGAAATGGGTGAGACATCAGGGGTTTATATAAGAAATGGTTGAGACATCAGATGTTTCATACAGGAAATGGGTGAGACATTAGCTCTTAATACAGGAAATGGGTGAAACATCAGGTGTTAATACAGGAAATGGGTGAGACATCAAGTGTTTATATAGGAAATGAGTGAGACATGAAGTGTTCATACAAGAAATGGGTGAGACATCAGGTGTTAATACAGGAAATGGGTGAGACATCAAATGTTAATACAGAAAATGGGTGAGACATCAAATGTTAATATAGAAAATGGGTGAGACATCAAATGTTAATACAGAAAATGGGTGAGACATCAAATGTTAATATAGAAAATGGGTGAGACATCAAATGTTAATACAGAAAATGGGTGAAGCAGTCAGGTGTTAATGTAGGAAATGGGTGAGATATCAGATGTTTATATAGAAAATGGGTGAGCCAGTCACATGTTTCACATAGGAAATGGGTGAGACAGTTAGGTGTTTCATACAGGAAATGGGTGAGACATCAGGTGTTTCAAACAGGAAATGGGTGAGGCAGCCAGGTGTTAATGTAGGAAATGGGTGAGACATCAGGTGTTTATATAGGAAATTAGTGAGCCAGTCTGGTGTTTCACATAGGAAATGGGTGAGCCAGTCTGGTGTTCAAGTAGAAAATGGGTGAGCCAGTCTGGTGTTTCACATAGGAAATGGGTGAGCCAGTCTGGTGTTTCACATAGGAAATGAATGTGACATTCAGGTGATAATTTAGGAAATGGATTATACAGTCAGGTGTGGGACAACATCATGAAGGGTATGGGATAAAAGTCATCTAGGTACTTGCAAGTGTATGATACAAATTACAGTATGCCAGATGTATGCCAGATGTATGCCAGTACAAGACAGGCCAGTTTTCCCACATACTTCTTGTGCACTTGCATCACTGTCTCCGGGTTTGTCTTCAGGAGTCTGGCGGACCACAGAGGGTCATTCTGGAAACAGACATACATCACGTCTCATGGTGTGGATGATATATTGAATGTTCTATCTTAAATATTGTTCTATGCCCTTATTTTTCTTAGTTTTAATATGTACCATTGAATGTTATGAATGTACCATCTTTCAAGAATACGAAAAAATCCATAATTCTTGATATATCTCACGTCAATGTTCTTGCAGCCAATCCTGACCATTTCTGTGGCACTGCCGCCATCCAGTAGAACATACTTCTGACCAACCAGACGCTGCAGCTTTCTGTTACTCTCTGTCTTTGTATCACTCGCCATTCTGTACAATATATCATAACACAGACATATATCACTGATATATAATACACAACTCGGTATCACCATTCTGTACAATATATCATAAAACAGACGTACATCACTGATATATAATACACAACTCTGTATCACCATTCTGTACAATATATCATAACACAGACATATATCACTGATATATAATACACAACTCTGTATCACCATTCTGTACAATATATCATAACACAGACAGAGATCACTGATATATAATACACAACTCTGTATCGCCATTCTGTACAATATATCATAACACAGACATATATCACTGATACACAATACACAACTCTGTATCACCATTCTGTACAATATATCATAACACAGACATATATCACTGATATATAATACACAACTCTGTATCACCATTCTGTACAATATATCATAACATGACAGATATGATATATATAGTAAACATACCATCCCTTCGCTGTAAAATAAGCTCCACATGTTCTTATCTATTTTTTATATGTTGAGTAAAATTCATGTACACAACTAATTAACCACTTTTTCCTGTTTTAGTCATGTTTTTATTATGTTATACATTATGCTATTTGCCACATTTGCCTTTCCCTAAACATTATAACTGCAGGTAATTTTGCATAATTCTCTCCTTGTGTGTGACACAACAGCCAAAATCATTTATTCACTCAAGCCCTGTTGTTTTAATGGCCAGTTTGGGTATTCAAATCAGTTGTATACTGCACACCTTTAAAAGGTCTGTCGTATTTTTCAAAGAATAAACACATATTTATCACAAACACAGTGTCCGGTGGGCATGATGGAGCTTTGAATGACACTTAGGGCTGAGTATTCTGTTATTGGATTGAGTAATTAATCCATTGATTATACTTGCAATATTGAAGGAATACATTTGTACTTACCGTACTTATAAGTGTCTAGACATGAATACATGGTATTGTCCACTCACTAGTGTTACTGCTATAAATAACACAATACACATGCTGAATTCTCATAAACCTGTCGAGTAATGTTAAAAATTTTAGAATTATTAGTAGAGGTAACACAGAGCAAGCATGTCTGTGTTGACAATAGTATTCTAAATTTAACTTAGTTTACAGCTGAATACACACAGCTGCAAGGGACCTACATTGGCAGTACAAAAGTGTTTGATAGTATAAAAACATTTGGCAGTACAAAAGAGTTCGGCAGTATAAAAGAGTTTGACAGTATAAAAATGTTTGGCAGTATAAAAGACTTTGGCAGTATAAAAGACTTTGGCAGTACGAATGAGTTTGGCAGTACAAATTCAGTTGCAGTACAAGTACACAGACAAATACAGGGATAGAAACACAATTTTTTAAGGATACCATGAGGCACCAGACAGATAATTTAGGTGTGCCTTTGTGAAAATAAGTGTGCCTCTACCTTGTGATGATCCTATTAAAGGGACACTGATCCAGAGCAATTCAAAGGGACTGGTTGTTGCTATTGTTATTGTTTTTACCCCGCGACTACCTGAATGATACGCCAGAATTCTTGACTAGGTTGCAATGTCTGCTGTGCCACACACAAACGCAAGTGATAGTATAAGTATACTATGTATACCCTTACATTGATCAACAAAGATGAAATCTTTTTAACTCATTTATGTTTCCATTTTCATTATTAACCTCATCATAATCATGTTATTTCAATTTATTGGGGTCTTTTTTAATAAATCAGTAAACCTGTAAACTTCTGAGCCGGATTTCCTGAACACCATCATGACTGCAAGAATAGTTCAGCTTCATGTGTCCCGGACCCATAAACTATGTTATCATCCAAAACAGGATTTCCTGTTATGTGTGAGGTGAAATTGGGTTTAACGTCGTGCTTGAGAATATTTCGCTCGTATGACGACATGCATGCGTGTGTATGTGTATGTGCGACTTCTTGTACTAGCCCGGACTTAAGCTGGTTTTATAGTGCTAGCCCACTGTGATACCATGCCGCAGTGAAGCATGAATACCCCACTCAGACACATTATACTGACTCCGAGCCGACCAGTCCTTGTTGTACCCATTAATGCCGAGCGCCAGGCAGGGGCCAACAAGTACCATATTTTAATGTCTTTTGGTATGACACGGTCGGGATCGAACCCGCGACCTTCCGTTCTCTGGGCAGACGCTCTAACCACTACACCACGGAGGTGGTCTATTTCCTGTTATGGACACTGGCATTCAAAATGGCCATACCCATGTTAAGCTGTGAGCTTATGAGTGCCACTGAAAAAAAGGTTTGATAGGGTGCAAAACATAGGGTTTGAATCATTTTAGTTGGTCAGATTCATCACATTTTCCATTAAATGAATCATGTTTGGCATTATAATGTATTTAGTCATGCGTCCTGGGCACAGAGAAAACATGTCATCTGTGCCATTTCAACATTTAACGTGCCAAAAACTATTTCAATCCCTGCAATACAATACAAACTTTAAAGGTCAATTTATCTCTACCAAACTTAGAATTAGGGCTGAGACGGGTAACCCGGATAACCGGGACGGGTGGGTAATGAATTGGACCCGAGTACCCATCTAATACCCGGACCCATTATGATCAAACAATAATAGATTAAACAATGTAATATGTTGTTCTGTCATGTTTAAAAGGTTGCAATGTCTTTGAAGATTTAGACATAATTTACAGTCACTTCTTTAGAATATAATACATGGTTAAGATATTCAAAAACTTGAAATTTTAGAATCCGAGCTGAAGAATATATTGCTATTTGCTTTCAAATTTGATGTCAGGAATTATCATATTGGGTAGGGTAGGGTAATAGGGGGGTGGGGTACCCGGACAGAAAATTTGGACCCATCCCAGACCCACTTTTAATCATAGTATATTTCAATATAGAACAAACTTTACGGATAACAATTTCTTTTTATTCGTGAGTGCGACGTTTTGATACAGATTCTTGCACCGTTGTCAAGCTTGACAACGGTACAAGAATCTGTATCGAAACGTTGCATTCACGAATAAAAAGAAATTGCTATCCATAAAGTTTGTTCTATATCGTACTTCCCAACTTCTAAAATGCCACTCAAATAGGACACAGTATATTTGTTGTTTTAAATAATAGCTAAAACTGAGTACAATTGCCAGTGGCTGAAGGGATGGTGTAAATCCAGCTGAGGTCCAATTGCAGGTAGCAAAGGCACTGTAAGTCCCCAGGGTCACTAGTATGGTGATCTACCTTCAGTTGTTGGCAATACTCAACCCGGTTCTTATACTGTATTGTCCTGACTGACATCAAATTTTAGAGATAGATGCTAGCTTTAATAATTCTTGTTTCTGTGACATTTTAGTTGTTTTTGCTGTCGACAGGTTCTTAAACGTTTAACTGTATTTATCACAAATTTATCACTAGTTTTATTTTACGGTATGGCTAACTCACTCACTCACAATAAATTAAGCAGTGATAAAAGCAATAAAGTCTATTAAAGACAGTAATGATTATATTCACCTCCCATGTACAGTGGTCAAGCTTCCAACATAGGCCTAGGCCGTGTCCATACAACTGTTGGTCTTCATGTCAAGTGAGATGTTTCACAACACTGCCACGTAACATGTACAATGTTGCATCTAAATTAACATGCACATGAACTGTATGGTATATCTGTGCTAACACACAGCTTGATTTAAGGATTCTGTTCATTTTGTGACTTGCATGATTCATTGACTAAACTTACCACCAAGTTTGAAGTTTTACACTGCAAGTTTCATTATTTTTTTTAAAAACGTTTAAAATTGAACTTCACCACTGTACTTGCAATTTGAGACATTTAATTTCTTCCCCTTCACTTAAACATGGACAAGAATTATCAGTATGTAAAGACGATAAAATAAATTCTTTTGGATTATTCTGAAATGACTGCCCATGTCTGCTCATAAGCTTATGGCTAATCATTTTATTCATTTGTCTCTTTGCAAGAAAAAAAGATGAAAAATAAATTGCTGTTATTAAACCCATTCTCTTACTTCTTTCGCATTTAATTCCGCGTTCTTGTATTTACTTCCGCATTCTGCTATCTCCCGCCAAAATTATGTCACTTAGTTACCACTGACGTCATGTATTATGCACACGCCGATTACGTCACATTCTGAATGTCATTCACGCCGCTCTCATTGTGCTGTAAACATCCTGCCCTTCCCACCCAAGTTTGCCGTGCCTTCATCATAGCTTTTTACTTATAAATTCTTAACCATTTCATTACTGGTGTGGCAGGATTCTTGGAGGCTTATATATATTATAATAATATTCTAAAATTAGGGTTCCTACTTTTCAGTTGGATCTTATTTTCCGTCCACTTATCAGTGGTAGGGACTATTTTGGCATATAAAATAAATGTTCCAGCTTCTCAGCGGAAGTATATCTTTATCTAGCGTTTTCCTCCTGCTGCTGTAGTGAGTGAGTGAGTGAGTTTGGTTTTACGCCGCTTTTAGCAATATTCCAGCAATATCACGGTGGGGAACACCAGAAATGGGCTTCACATATTGTATCCATGCGGGGAATCGAAGCCTGGTTTTTGGCATGAAGAGCCAACCCTTTAACCACTAGGCTACCCCACCGCCCCTGCTGCTGCTGACCGCCTCCGTGGTGTAGTGGTTAGAGCGTCCGCCCGGAGAGTGGAAGGTCGCGGGTTCGATCCCCGACCGCGTCATACCAAAAGACGTTAAAATATGGTCTCTGCCTGGCGCTCGGCATTAATGGGTACAACAAGGACTGGTCGGCTCGGAGTCAGTATAATGTGTCTGAGTGGGGTATTCATGCTTCACTGCAGCTTGGTATCTCAGTGGGCTAGCACTATAAAACCAGCTTCAGTCTGCGCTAGTACAAGCAGCCGCACATACACATACACACGCATGCACGTCTTCATATGAGCGAAATATTCTCAAGCACGACGTTAAACCTAATTTCACCTCACCTCACCCTGCTGCTGCTGTAACCTTGTCTGCCAATACTTTATCCTGCTGCTAGTCACCTGATTTAACTCGTCATCCATAGTAACCAGGTTAGGGCCCCTCCATGAACCGCCACGCTCATGACCATTGACCAAAACATTGGTTATTTATTTGTGTTGTATGCGTGACGTCAATGCACATTGGTTTGACGTTTTTATTATGGAGTAATAATTTATACAAAATTAATTATCAATTATTACTACTACAAGCGATAACATATATTATGATTCAGTTTTATATCATGGAGTTATAATTTATCCAACAAAAATTCCACTAATTATTAATACAACAAATCAGGGTTCTCTCTACTGTTGTGTTACCAAGTTAAGATAAGATAAATAATTTAAAGTACACACACGCACGCACGCACACATGCACGCACACACACACGATGTGAAGCTAATCACAATATAATGATGGATCGTAATCAAAGTACATAATATAATGAGCACTCGTTCCACATCATTAATCTCACTATTACAATTCTGGAGGAGATTTAGAAGTTTTATGCTGTATGGGACAAATGATTTTGAAGATCTATTAGTTTTGTAACACATGATTTGAAACGGTGACCAGAAGGCAGAACTTCATAACATCCATTTAAAAAGTTTGATGGTTCCGATTGAATGGCCAGAGCTTACTTTTTAACTCTTGACTCATACTGAAAAGGAAGAGGTTCGAAAGAGAAGATGCAAATATTGCTGGATATATGTACAATTTTGTCAAGTTTGTTTTTCTGTGTAAGAGGAAGATTGTCATACCATGCATGAAAGGAGAAGGCTAAAATACTGTTAATGAATGTTTGGTAGAATAATGTTCAGATAGTAGTCTCTACATTAAATGATCGCAATTTTCACAGAAAGAAAAGCCTCTGGGACCATGAACATACATTACTGACCATAGATGAAGTTAATCTTTTTACGATGCATCAGCTAAAACTGTTCAAACTCAGGCATGAATAAACGTCTTCTGTGTGTACTCTATCTTCACTTATCTCAGTCCTTGCCTGGAACCAATACACTTTACATTTATTTACAACATAATATTAAGAAACTCCAAATCTTCCAAGGCTTGTCATTTGGTTGTTTTCTTCTGATAGAGGTACGAAAGTGTCCAAATAAACAACACAAAAACAAGGCTCCAGGGGGATTCGAACCCTCGACCTTCTGCTTACTAGGCAGACGCTCTAACCAACTGAGCTATAGAGCCACTTCCTCCAAAGTCGGTTTTAATAGCATCATAATCTTGACATACGAGATCATCTTTAATGGCTTTTGTTATTTATAATGTTGTGACACATCTAACAAATTGTAAATGCTGTTTCGATCTGGGGGGCTTTCCAGATTAAACACGATAAAGTCATTTTCAATATTCACACAGTAACGATTTTCATTTGGTGAACTATCGATCGATTCGATAACGAACATCAGAGTGCAGCAACGTGCTGTCACAATGACAGTTCAAATATTAGTGCAATCAACGTAAAAGTATGCGACAATTGTGTCAACTATACCTGAAACTTGTGTCACGTCTCTTCTCTGCTCATCATAAGAACGTTATAGTTATCACGGTTGGGAAGCCGCCATCTTGGAATGGAATATGCAAGGTGTGAGAAGCGGTCATAAAAGCATACACATCTTCCCGTACAGCTCTGTCGTCAGCTGAACTTACCTCTCGGAACTCGATTCTTCTGAATGATACTTATTTACTTACTTACTTTAGTGATCACAAGCCAACAAAATGAAGAGGATTCGTCCTTTTAGACGATCTTAACATACAACCAGAACATACATATGAATTTTAAGGAATTTTCTTTAATTACGATATATGTTTCCCGTGTGGGAACAACAATTTATCATCAAAACTGTGTTCCACAGGAGATATTACTTGTGTGAGATCAAGATTTTGACAGTAGATTTTGTACAATGCCCTGGCTATGCTATGACGTCATGAACTTGATGACGTCACAATGCTATGAGTGATTTTGTATGATAAATAGAATCTCACCCTCGTGTCTACTGATATCAATATATCAACACTCATTGATAAAAGTAAAAATATCCGAGGTTTACAAAGGATATTTTTACTTTTATCAATTGGTGTTGATATAATTGATATCAGTAGACACTGGTTGAATTCTCTATATCAACGCATCATTAAAAACATGTTATCAGCTTAACAACAATTTAAGTCTTATCAAAACTAAAATAAAGCGAGATTTATAAAGATTCCAGACGTAAGAATGCATACTCTAGAGTGAAGTATTACAGGTGATTGTTTTATTTATGTCATTTGATTCAGCTAGAAACGCCCGCAAAGTCAGACACCACCCAACTGAGGGATAGGAGAGAAAACCCAACCAATATAGCAGAGGGTATAGCAATAACACAGTGTATAGGATCTTCCAGGAAAGCTGAGTACAGTATGGAATGATCTGGAAAGTGGTACAAAGAGCTGTTTCCAAAGTCATCTGCCTCGAAATTTCTTGATTATTTTCTTTGGTATGTAAGATGAGTTAACGCTTTCGTCTCATGTCTACATGTTACAAAAGACCAGCTTTGTATGTGATTATCATTATCCCCTCACTCGCTGTCTAGCCCTTTCTTCCAAGATGGACTACTGCTTGATAAGTGGCGAATGCTACCATCACTGTCTTTATTGCTATAATCACTGCTCTTGTATTATCATTCGTCACCACTCGCCTCTTTCCGTAACCTCCAAGAAGACACGAGTCGCTATTCGGCTTGTCCCGAAAATGACACGAGTTGGTCACGAATGTTGTATTATGTCACCTTTGGATTTCTGCCACACTTTTGTACTGCTATAGTGAATGAGTGTGTGAGTGGAGTGAGTCAGTGAGAGACTTATGGACTTAGTTATTTTAGAATACATTTATTATTTACAGCACATTTCTCTGGGGTTTTTTTTTGTTTCAAACCTAGGTCTTTCTAGTGCTGGTATTGGCATACAACCTGCGATACGATACATCACGATACTAAAATTTTAGTCACGACGATATATTGCCAAAGTATTGTGCACTGAAGCTGCGATACGATACGAATCCCGATATAAGGGTGGCGATACGATACGTATCACGATACTAAAATCCTTAATTCTAACACCAACTATAAAACACCTTAAGATCAAAACAAAACCATTTTAAAGTATTTCGTCAAATTCCGCCAGCGTTTTTCAATGTTCATTCGGAAACGAGATAATTACGTTTATACACGGACTTTGTGAATGTTAATAAAATGCGAGCGCTATGTCTGACACAGTTCTTGACGCAAGAATTTCCGAGAAAACGTTTACTAATGAAGGGAAAATAAGTAAGCATATACTATAATCATCAAACAAAAGTAAGTCTTTTTATTGACAGAGGACAGAGGAGAGACAGCGGTTTTAACTGCTTCAAATGAGGAATCAAACACTGTTAACGAGAACTGGAAGTCGTTGTTCGACAAAATCCTGAGTTATAAACGAAATCCGAAGGCGTGGAAGTTGTTGAACTGAGTGTGTATGAAGCCGGTATTTCTGCAGTGTGGAATACGGCGGTGTTGTTTTGTTGTTTTCTGTTCTGACAGAGAAAACAGCAGTATGAATTACTAGCGCATGTTTCTTCAGTGTGGAATACGGCGGTGTCGTTTTGTTGTGGTTGGTGGTGGTATGTTTTGATACCATAAACAGCGGTAAATGTTACTAGCCCTGCCCTATCATGATGATACAAGGCCATCTCCCCGACATTTTGTATTGTTGAAAGAAGTCTGCTTGGATCTGTGAAAAATCACTTATGCCCATTTCATCCTTAAAACTCATACTTTGGATGGTTGGTTGTTTCTAACGCCACGCTCAGCAATATTCCAGCCTATATGGCGGCGGTCTGTAAATAGTCATTGCGCCATCTTACTAACGTCAACGAAGCTCCTCTGGGATGGGTTTAGTTTACCTGAGTGTTAGACTTAGTGACCCGCATAGTCTTTAGTTCATGCAACATCATTTTAAGTCTTGCTTTGTTTGTTCGCTTCTTGTTTAACGCCGCACTCAAGCAATATAACGGCGGTCTGTAAATAATCGGGTCTGGACCAGACAATCCAATGATCAACAGCATGAGTATGAGCCTACGCAATTGGGATACGATGACATGTATCCAGGGCTGGTTAAAGCGTTTTGGGGATATCTGTCTCTTCAAATACAGAAGTCCATCAGTGGGTCCACAACACTTTATTCGGCAGCTAGATATGCAATTACATGATACAACATATGTTATATTTGGGATTACACTTTCTTAGTAAAAGTACAAATTCTCGTACTTTTTGCCCATCCGGTATTCGAACCCACACCCTCAGAGGACATCCCAAATATAACATATGTTGCATTTGATTACAATGGCATTGTGTAAATTACATGAAAGTGCAGCAACGGCCAGGCAGCATCCCAGAGGCGATCGTCAGGCCACCTGCCTAGCCGCTGTCCGAGGGTCAAGTCCGTTACATTAAGAATTCATTGTCTATATACTACTGACTGCCAGGCTGCCCTTTATCGTATTACGATACATGTATGAGTCAACTTGATCCAGCATGCACCTCATCCACAATGTTAAACTTCCGTGGCCAACCCGCCATACTCAAGTTAATTAGGGTTCATTACACGCATGCAGCTGACCTGCACATGGCTTTGCTGATGGTCATGATAATAAACTGCTGATATTTCATTTATATTGTCAGCACTGTGATTTAGATTTAGATAACACAACTTTAACTTAACTGAGAGAATATACAAACATGTCTATATTTCCCGATAAAACCTGGATCAAAGTTCTACGACACATGTGTCAACCAAAACCGCACGATCCCGTTAGTCGCCTCTTACAAGCATTGCTTGCTGAAGACCAATTCTAATTGGATCTTCACGGGTCTGAAACTCATACAGGAAACAGAAGCTGATGAGGAAACAGAAGCTGATGAGGAAACAGAAGCAGATGAGGAAACAGAATATGTCCGCGACTCCCAGAAATGTTCAGGATGTCCTTGAGATATCATGAAGCTATATGTCCTGTAAACAGTCACCATCCTACATGGCAGAACATCCTGTAGGACAAGGGTGTGTGGAGTATATCAGTGGTGTCACATGTCAAAATCAGATTACATCAAAGACGTTGAGCAAACATCCTTCACCATATAATAACAATAATAATAATAATGTGTCCATTTATATTGCGCCAAACTCCACTCTATAAAAATAGGTATGCTCATAGCGCTATCAATCAAGGCACAGCACATTATTACCCCGGATAACCCAAGCTGCCTGTTAGGCGCTAGGAGGTTATAGTCATATGACTTTTTCCACCGGGTGCCCATTTTCCTGCTGGGTGAACAGAGACGATTTTGAACAAACTCACTTGCCTAAGGTGAGACCACATGTGTGACATGTGCTTCGTTGTGGGGCAGAAGTCAAGTCCTAGAAACTCTCAGGAGTCAAGCTGCCAAACACGGTGACCCATCCAAGACTCTCCGAGCTCGACGCTGCATAACTTCACCGATTTGTGACCTGAGCTTTAAGCACAGGACCAGGCGCCACCACAGTGCATTAACGTTTACATACGTTATCTAACTCCACAAATTGTGCTCAGGTTTCCAAGCAGATACGTGTTGCATCAAATTACAGATTTCATTATACTGGGATAGTTTCAAATTTGGTAAACGCGATTTCACACGCAAGGTGGGTGAGGTGAAATTGGGTTTAACGTCGTACTTGAGAATATTTCGCTCATATGACGACGTGCATGCGTGTGTATGTGTATGTGCGGCTGCTTGTACTAGCCCAGACTGAAGCTGGTTTTATAGTGATAGCCCACTGAGATACCATGCCGCAGTGAAGCAAGAATACCCTGAGCAGACACATTATACTGACTCCGAGCCGACCAGTCCTTGTTGTACCCATTAATGCCGAGCGCCAGGCAGGGACCAACAAGTACCATATTTTAACGTCTTTTGGTATGACGCGGTCGGGGATCGAACTAGAAATATTACCAGAGGTCGGGCATGTCTCTGTCTACTATGTGAGTTGTTGGTTTTACGCCGCTTTCAGCAATATTCCAGCAATATCACGGGACACCAGAAACAGGCTTTACAGAGTTTACCCATGTGGGATCGAGGCTTTAACACAAGGCTACAGCGCCGCCCTGCATTCTATGTATTGCCCGTCACTGTGTGATGGCAGGAAAATCACGGGCCTCGGTCAGCTGTTGCAAAATACATTATCTTTAGGGACTGACTGACTGAGTTTAGTTTTACGCCGCTTTTAGAAATATTCCAGCAATATCACGGCGGGGGACACCAGAAAAGGGCTTCACACATTGTACCCACGTGAGGAATCGTACCAGGGTCTCCGGCGTGGCAAGCAAACGCTTTAACCACTAGCCCACCGCCCCCTTCACAGAGTAAAAATCAGTCTGACACACGGATTCATGCAATACAATCACTTTATTCGTCGTTACATCAATATGGTCATCCCGCTCGGAGAAACATCTGCCTAAGTATAGTCCACCTCGCGAATGTATACAACTATATTTTGCAAAAGTGATGAATACATATAAACGCAATATTCTTATTTTGAAAAACATGGATACAATTAAATAATTCAACCAGAAATATCATGATAATTTGTCATGAGTTGATCACACACACCCGTGATTGCTGTTTCATACAAGGCCGTATATAAAACGTGAACGTCAGAATGCAGCAGCTGTTCAGTGCCATTAGTACGTTTTCATAATTCACTGAATACAAGACCACAACTCATTGATTATTTGTTTAAAGGAAAAATGGAACAGTTTCATGTCTGGACAAATAGGTTTTTATTTACCTCTCTTAGTAACCACCAAAGTGTCCCTAAAGCAAGGTTATAAACTCAGATCAAATCAATGTTATATACAGGCTTTGGACAGAAAAATGTCGTCATTTAACATCCTGCGCGATAATCTCTTCACTAGTGGAAATACATTTGAATGTACTAAACCTCTATTTGACAACAAAAGCCCATAGAAATATTTCCGTATTCTCCTCGTATAAGATTCGCATTTCAAATAATCAGTTCGTTATGGCTTAAAGTACTTACTCGTGTGTTTCCGTGACGTGTATCGGCTTGTTCCGGTATGAAACGAATAGCCACGAACGGAAACGTGAGGTATTATTCAAAATTCTTGTTCTCATGTGAAGAAGAAGTACAGACAGTCACACATGATGATGAAAAATCGCGAAATGCAAAAAGTTTTAAATGGACTTAAATATTAGAGGACAAATATTCATACAGTTTAACTTCATTAGTACAGAAACATGGCTTACGGACACGTACGGATACCAGGGTGCATACCATATCACATGACATTAATCTAAACCATGGACTCTATTTACCGGACATATGATAATTTCGTTCTGTTAAAATATGCTTGGCGCAGTCCGGATAAAAGCGAGCCTCTAAAAGTGAAACTTCTTGATCTGGATGGAACGTTTTATGTACGGATGAACATTGACTGTTGTAAGGAATTATCGTTACAGGGTAAGTTCTTTTTGTGTGGACGTTACGGAAAGTAATTGTCCCAAATGTGTGGTTCGGATAAACGAGGTTAACCACGTTGCTTTGACAAATCGATACGAGACAATAATTTTGATTGACCTGACATGATGTTGAATGGGGTGAACAGTGTTGATTAAAGCAATTTACACCAAATCCGGTTCCCCTCCCCAAAGCTCCAGATAATCTGTATATGTTTGCATGACTTGTATATGTAATTCATTGTAAGGTCAGATGATCTGTATGTTTGCATGACTTGTATGTGTTTGCATGACTTGTAATTGTAATTCATTGTAAAAGGTCCAGATAATCTGTATATGTTTGCATGACTTGTAATTGTAATTCATTGTAAGGTCCAGATAATCTGTATATGTTTGCATGACTTGTATATGTTTGCATGACTTGTAATTGTAATTCAATAGGGCTTGTAATTCATTGTAAGGTCCAGATAATCTGTATATGTTTGCATGACTTGTATATGTTTGCATGAATTGTAATTGTAATTCATTGTAAGGTCCAGATAATATGTATATGTTTGCATGACTTGTAATTGTAATTCATTGTAAGGTCAGATAATCTGTATATGTTTGCATGACTTGTATATGTTTGCATGACTTGTAATTGTAATTCATTGTAAGGTCCAGATAATCTGTATATGTTTGCATGACTTGTAATTGTAATTCATTGTAAAGGTCCAGATAATCTGTATATGTTTGCATGAACTGTAATTGTAATTTATTGTAAGGTCCAGATAATCTGTATATGTTTGCATGAATTGTATATGTTTGCATGATTGTAATTGTAATTCATTGTAAGGTCCAGATAATATGTATATGTTTGCATGACTTGTAATTGTAATTCATTGTAAGGTCCAGATAATATGTATATGTTTGCATGACTTGTATATGTTTGCATGACTTGTAATTGTCATTCATTGTAAGGTCCAGATAATCTGTATATGTTTGCATGACTTGTAATTGTGTGATTCATTGTAAGGTCCAGATAATCTGTATATGTTTTGCATGACTTGTAATTGTAATTCATTGGCGGGGAACCAGAAATGTTCAGATAATCTGTATATGTTTGCATGACTTGTAATTAGGCTAATTCATTGTAAGGTCAGATAATCTGTATATGTTTGCATGACTTGTAATTGTAATTCACTGTAAGGTCCAGATAATCTGTATATGTTTGCATGACTTGTATATGTTTGCATGAATTGTAATTGTAATTCACTGTAAGGTCCAGATAATATGTATATGTTTGCATGACTTGTAATTGTAATTCATTGTAAGGTCCAGATAATCTGTATATGTTTGCATGACTTGTAATTGTAATTCATTGTAAGGTGAATTGTCAATGAAATGAGTATTTAGATGTGAGTATATCTCAAATAGTCTGGGGGTTAAGAATTTATCAGGCGTGTGCTTGTCCGGATGTTACATCAAAGCTGCAGGGCATGCAAAGACTGAACGTTGGAATTTGAAAGCTTTCCAAGTCTTCTCTTAACCTTGTGTTGTTCGCGGAGAGCCTGTTCATGTATTGCTCAGCTGGAAAAGGTCGAAGTCGAACTGTTGCGTGTCAGTAGAACCCATGGTCTTCAGATACAAGCTGCTGCCGTCGTGAGTCAGGAATAGATCTGCAAAAGACCAAACAGAATTACAAACGGAATGCATGACACGTGCTAATGTCAGCCATGATTCTTGTTATTGTTTCGTTTTTGTTTTCATTATTTTTTAACGCCGCACTGGGCAGTATTCACGTTTCATGACAGCGGTCTGTAAATAATCTCGACTAGACAACCCGGTGATTGACATCACGAGGATTGATCTCTACTGTCAGTGTCAAACATCAACCACATCTTCAAGCCTGACCATCTGAACCCGTTAGTCGAGTCTTCGAGAAGCATGGGTTGCTCAAGACCTTTTGCCATCGGTCGGATTTTGTTTAATGATCTCCATACATCATCAACATCATAACATCAACTGAACATCAATAAACATACATTCCTTTAAATTTATAGGATGAACTCACATTTATCTAAGACTATAATTGATTTCAATGTTCTTCCCAAAGTTAAGCCGTATGTTACCCGTGTTTGTTTTAAGCAGTACTCAGCAATATTCCAGCTGTAGTAGGGTTGTTTGCGAAAAATCGAATCTGGACCAAACAATCCAGTGACGTCGTGAGTATCGACCAACGCGATAGAGATACGACGACAGGCATCAGCCAAGTCAGCCAACCTGTTCACCCGATCCCAATAGTTGCCTATCTTGGATTCGAACCCTGGATGATCGGGGTTTTTGCACGCCAAGTAGGGTACTGAACCGCGAAGGTGGTGGGAGGTTACCCCTTGGACGATTGAGCAATTTGAGTGTAAATGACCTGTTTCTTGAAAGAAAGACCTGACCAGCTTGTGAACTTTGTTGAAGTGAACCCATGTAGCAAGAAACGACAAAAATGTCAGACTCGGGGCCATTGGACATCTGGACAGACATTGACGCAACAAGATTGTATGGTCATCTGTTATAAAACGTACCTTTGTGAGCAAAGCTTCTAAACTGACACCAGCCATTGCCTCGAGCGAACATCTCGAAGAGTCTCGCGTCAGTGAGACTCACAACGGGATCACAGCTGCCTTCCTGTAAAAAGAAAGCAAAACGAAATAATACATCTTCGGTGGGGTCTCAGACTGTGTGGTCCGAATTTTACGCCCCAGATTCCCTCGCTGTTTCTAACAACTGACCATGACACCCGCAGCTCCTACAGGTTCAGTGACCTTGACCTTTGTATCATCGTGCCGGAAAGAGCAGATAGTTGTTCATGCTGTCAGTCACCATAATCACAGCTAGACTTTCTGAATATCATGAGCTTTTGTAGCGTCCCCATCTGTCGCCGAAAACTTAAGTGTGTGAAGCACCCTTCTGGTTTTCCCCGCCATGATTTTAGACGGATTTTTGCGAAAGGTTAGTTCTAAGCCAAACCACTCTCACGAAGACTTCGCAAGGTGCAACTGTTTGTTTCCATGTTGATTGAGAGCACCGGGTATTTACTTGTGATGAATCTCTACAAAATGGACAGTGGGGTAGCATTGTGGTTAAATCGTTCGCTCATCACGCCTAAGGTATGGGTTCGATTCCCCACATGGGTACAATGTGTGAAGCCCATTTCTTGTGTCCCCCCGCCGTGATGTTGCTGGAATATTGCTAAAGGTGGCGTAAAACTCAACTCACTCACTCTCTATGAAAGACGAGGTATATGCCACCATGACTTACCTTGAGAACTACCTGCTTGTCATCACGTGCTGTGACGTAATAGGTGACCCCGTTGACCTTGTGGCTAAGGTAGCACACAGACATGATGACGTCATTCACAGAAACGGGCAGACATGCCAGGGTGAAGGTCACTGTGAAAATGTAATTTACAGTTATTTAGCATCCATGCTCCTTTGCACGAAGTGATGATGATGATTTAGAGATTTAACGTGCGCTCTCTGACATAATGCGCATTTCGTACAACGAGTAATGGTGGTGAGATTATACCCGTCATATAACGTTTCTAAACCAATCAGATATCTGACAGTATATACTACCATTTACTTTATTCGCCTCTTTCGTACTCGAGCACAATATCTTTTAAAAAAATATATGCCATAACGATATAGCCTGGAAATATGTGTGAAGAATCGGATCGGCATTTTCGATGGTGAAAAAAGAAATACAGCGGTAATGACGAGGTGGGTTACCTTTCTCTGTCACCTTAATTCCATGTACAAGCGCCATGATGGGTGGGTCTCCCTCAACGCTCACGTGCTCATTGTTACGGACACTGACCAGAACACTTGTCTTTGACCACGTGCTCTCAATGGGGACCAGTGAACCATCTGAAACAGAGAGGCATCTGCATTCATCACATCTCGACGACCGATCCACGAGCACTCACTCGACGCGTGGGGAGTCGGGCTTGAAAATGTCCCCAGAATTGATTGATCTGCTGGTCAGACTAAATTACCAAGGTCAGACTAAATCACCTGTTCCGGATCCATGAAACGATCTTAGCTACGATGATGGTTAGCCAATGTTTAGGTATGGAAGTTACGATCACCTTAGCGCCAAGACCGATCGCCTTAGCGCTAAGATCAATCACCTTAGCGCTAAGATTGATCACCCTAGCGCTGCGGACAATGGCCTTAGCGCTTAGGAGCGGGGACCTGATTAATGGCATGACTTCGTACCCAAACGACGTTGAGGGGCGTTTGGGTAGCCTAGTGGTTAAAGCGTTCGCTAGTCACGCCGAAGACCCGAGTTCGATTCTCCACATGGGTACAATGCGTGAACCCCTTTTCTGGTGTCCCCCGCCGTGATATTGCTATAATATTGCTAAAAGCGACGTAAAACTAAACTCACTCACTCACTCAACCCAACGACGTTGAACATTGCTCATGCTATCAGTCACTTGTTTAAAATCAATTAAATACAGATCTCTTTCAGTGGCATTTAGAAGTTGTACATTGATGTCCAAGATATTTTTATGGATTAAACGTCTTTTTAATTTCTCTCACGACGTTTCGAGACCATTCCAGGTCCCTTCATCAGCAGTTCACCTGATGAAGGGACCTGGAATGGTCTCGAAACGTCGTGAGAGAAATTAAAAAGAAGTTTAATCCATAAAAATATCTTGGACATAAATACAGATCGTCTATATGTACAAATGTTACATTTCTGAGATATAAAACAATGAAAAATCCACCATAACAGCCACCCAATATCCCAAACCATACAAACAAACAACCCCCTGTTTTCATTTTACATAATAGCACGCGATGATGTGGGGGTAAATAAAAGTAATTCTTGTGTAAAATTTAAACTTAAACCCCGCGTACCAACGACAATCAACATTGGTGTCCCGTAGCTTCAGACTGACTGGGGACCGTGAGCATCAAGCTTCGACTCTGTTTTCAACAATCGATGCTCATGATGTCAATCACTTGATTGTTCCGCCCACAATAGGTTATTAACGCCGTCGTCTTACGCCGGGAATTTACCTCGTCGTTCAACCAAACAAAAAACATCAACATCTAAATGCTTGAACAAACATGACAGTCATTTCCTTGATTTCAGTAAAAATCGTTGCAATAGAAAGAGAAAAGAATTGCCTCTACCTTTATCAGACTTCGTGCGGTTCTCACAATGTGTTGTCTCGGATTGGCCCGGCATCTTCGAAAACATACGACTTCCCTCGCTTCAAGTTTAAATTCGAATGTGGCGGTTTGGAAGACGTGGGTATATTTGTACATGACATGTTACTATAAATAACCAGCCGGGAAGTCCGGAAGTTATCACAATAGCTCCACAAATACTGCTAACATAAGCTTACGCTGTGAGCGCCACCTGCTGCTTGTTGATACAAAAGCGTTCTATTCACGTGATTGCACGTGTCAAAAGGCGGATGTACTAATTTAGTACACTCGTCATAACTGCATGTTCTAATTTGAGGTAAATGCGACTTCGATCAAGCATAATAACTCAAAATAGCGCTGGTTCTAGGAGCTGACCAGTTATCCGATTTACAGGGTAGTTTTCTTATTAATTTAAATACATAGGTATATATCTAATGGCATTGGTGTTCTATCCGTGAGAACCCATGCTTCTCGTAAGTGGTGACTAACGGGATCAGGTGGTCAGGTTCGCTGACTAGGCTGACACGTGTGACCATCGTATCCCAGTTGCGTAGATCGATGCTCATGCTGTTAATCACTAAATTGTCTGGTCCAGACTTGATTATTTACATATCGCAGTCATTTAGTTGGGGATATTGCTAAGTGCGGTGGTAAACAAATAAAAAACGACAAAACAAAACACTGATATTTAATGACTGATGCAGCTGTTGTTATTGGACAAGTTACATCATTAATTAGTCGGGATGGTGGGAGAGCCTAAAAGCCTAGTTCGCTCGTCACGCCGAGAACCCGGGATCGATTCCCCACATGGGTACAGTGTGTGAACCCAATTACTGGTGTCCCCCGCCGTGACATTGTTTGGAATATTGCTAAAAGCGGCGTAATACTCCCTCCCTCGCTCGCTCGCAGTGTTTGCCTTTAACCCTGAAATGTTGCAGGTCCTTGGGACCAAGAAAGTAAAAAGCTGTGGTTCCTGATTAAAATGTGTAGGCCCTATATTTTAATATGGAAAAAAAGTAAGGCCGGAAAATGCTTTTTGGCAACTATTTGACAATGGTTGATATTTCAGATTCAAAACTTAAATATAATCATTCATACCACCTCGACCTAATGTGGCACATGAGTAATCACGATGTACCATTCCCTAATCATAATGATTACTCGTAAAATATCGAAAAACTTAGGAAAAAATCCATGGTAGAAACAAACTATACTGTGACCCACCTGGCAGGCAGACAGGGTGACAGCATTATGTAACGCACGGGCAGTACATGTCAGGGACCGTCTCAAAATATCAAGTGTCAGTATCACTGCTGGTCGAGGACTCTAGCGGAATTACACCAGGACATTTATTGTATCTTTGATCTCATCTTGTATTTTAGCACACGTCGTTGGGATTAGTCGGCTTCGGGCCTAAGGACCGATGTTAATTTCGAAAGCTTCTCACTCACTCATTCATTACTCACGGAATTCCTACCTTCAGTTGCTGTTTATAACCCGTTTTTATTTTCAATTGCCTTGAATTGTAACATAATGTTACTGTTACGTGCTGGTTTTATATTTATATGTGTGATTTTCAAGCTGTTTCCTTTGTGGACGGTGCGATGGGATAGCCTAGTGGTTAAAGCGTTGGTTCGTCACGCCGAAGACCCCGGTCCGAATCCCCACATGGGTACAATGTGTGAAGCCGATATCTGGTGTCCCTCGCCGTGATGTTGCTGGAATATTGCTAAAAGCGGGTTAAAACCAAACTCAGTGAGTCAGTCCTTTGTCGACAGGTTTTATAACCTAAATATGACTGTGATACTTGTTTTAGTCACGATGTGGCTGAAATATTGCCGATGTGACCTGAATCTTAATCACTAACTCACGCTTGCGGAAAAGGCAAACAGGGCTACGCGGTGAAGGTTACAAGAGACACGTGACGTTACATTATCTGTGGTGGAATAGGGATCCACACCGAGACGTTACATTATCTGTGGTGGAATAGGGATCCACACCGAGGCAGATTTACCCTTGGTCTATATCATGGGCAGTGTTTCATCACATCTGGGTACGACGACACCGAGCAACGTTTCATCTCATCTGGGTACGACGACACGACACCGAGCAACGTTTCATCACATCTGGGTACGACGACACCGAGCAACGTTTCATCACATCTGGGTACGACGGCACCGAGCAACGTTTCATCACATCTGGGTACGACGGCACCGAGCAACGTTTCATCACATCTGGGTACGACGACACCGAAGACACCGAGCAACGTTTCATCACATCTGGGTACGACGACACCGAGCAACGTTTCATCACATCTGGGTACGACAATACCAATACAGCCGAGCCTCCAAGTCGTACAAACAAATATACATTGTACTCACAACTAAAATAGAAACTAATTTTAACCGCATCCCGAGGGGATCATGAATTGTTTATGTACCCATGTGGGGCCCGAACCCTCGACTTGCGTTGTCGGCAAACAACAACAGCCACCTACTGTCCCTTGCGCAAATACCAACTGAAATTCTGAAGAAATACTTGTAAACATTTGCGAAATATTACACCATTCTGATAAAAATAAGAGTGGAGACGATGACTCGATTAAAATAGGCCATGAATTGTTTATGTACCCATGTGGGGCCCGAACCCTCGACTTGTGTTGTCGGCAAACGTTTTAGCAACAACCACCCACTGTCCCTTGCGCAAATACCAACTGAAATACTGAAGAAATACCTGTAAACATTTGCGAAATATTACAACATTCTGATAAATAAGAATGGAGACGATGACTCGATTAAATTAGACACGTATGCTAGACATGACAACATAATCAACAGTTATAGCTGTCTGTCAACAGGAGGAGGACAATAGTACAAGGAAAATGATCATTGACCTTGACCCAATGGGAATTATTTCCTGCTTCACTTGAGTAGGCCCTCCTGTTAATACGGAAAGACTTCATGGGTGTGTGTGTGCGTGCATGCGTGCGTGCGTGTGTGTGCATGTAGGTGCGTGTATGCAAGTGCGTCCAAATGTGTGGTTATTGTATGTGCGTGAGTGCTTCTGTGTGTGGGTGCGTGTGTCTCAGTGTATGTGCGTACGTGCGTATATGTACGTGCGTGTGTGTGATCAGCATATGTGTGAGCTTGCTTCTCTGTGTGTGTGCGTACGTGTGAATGTGCATAGAGGGTGCGTGCATGTCCGAGCGTGCGTGCGTGCGTGTATGATATAGGTTTACCGCCTCTTCGAACGTTATTCCAGTTACATGACAGCGTGTCAGCTTAATGTGGGAGGAAGCACGAAGTTTTGTATGTTTTACCTGTCTACCACAGGTATGGTGCCGACAAGCCAGAGTGCATAATTGGTACGAACCTGGATTCGAACCCACGGTCTGGCTTGCCTAACCTGCACAGTGACTGTTGGTCAAGCTTGTTAGCTGCACGTTATCATACCCCATAGCAGGAGAACTGTTCGCTTAGTTCGGCATTTAACGTCATACAAACGAACGAGTAGCTCGACTTTAATCTTCACTAGTTAACCAAATTTTATTAATTAATTAATTAATTAGCTCGACTTTATTCTTCGCTACAGTTAACCTAATTAAATAATTTATTTATTTATTTATTTATTTATTTATTTATTTATTTATTTATTTAACTATTCAGTATTTATTCATTCATTTGTTTGTTTGTTTGTTTGTTTATTTCTGTGAAATTGAAAGTACGACCTCAGATCTGACTGACTGACTGAGTTTGGTTTTACGCCGCTTTTAGCAATATTCCAGCAATATCACGGCGGGGGACACCAGAAATGGGCTTCACACATTGTACCCATGGGGGGATTCGAACCCGGGTCTTCGGCGTGACGAGCCAACGCTTTAACCACTAGACTACCCCACCGCCCCTTCAGATTTGCATGCAGTCCACAGATTAGAGATTTTAATGTGAATCCCCAGTTTCGTAAGATGAGTCATTTGTTTCTACGAATATCTCCGTCCTCTAATGGTAATAAAAGCGTCACAGTCACAGATATCTATTGTCAACCTTTCCTCCTCGGTAACGTTATACTATTGTTCAGTGTGACGTGTCTCTATGACGTAATGACCAACCAATCGAAGATAAACACATATTGGATTTTCCATAATCTATATTTAGGCTGGAAAAGCCACGGAAGTCGCAAAAGGCTTTATTAAATTGTCCGCGACGAAATGGCTGACGAAATGTAAGTACCGTGAGTAGATGCTAAGAACAGAAATGTGTGTACGCAACAAATAGAAGATAGTAGAACTTTCAGCTGGATCTGAGCCAGATTGTTACCTCGTTTGACACCGAACTTATCTGTGAACATAACGGTGTAATGTCGGAGCGAGATGAGTTTACCTCACTGTTCAGTGTGTACTCGTTATCATCATCTCACAGTCACTCGGTTGATCGATCGATATCAGAAACGGCCAAGTCACTGTTTGACTCTTGTGGACTTCAACGAGTAATACTAATAATAGTAGTGGATATTTGTAAAGCGTCAGTGGCCACCCACTCATGCATGCTCATGGCGCATTAAAACTATTTACAGAAGAACGGAAAATGTCAATTATAGGCTTTAGTAAAAAGGAATGTCTTTAGGGCCTTCTTAAAAGAGTCCAGGGTCGGGGTGAGTTTGATTTGGAGCGGCAGAGAGTTCCATAAGAGAGGCGCGACATGCTGAAAACCCCTCTTTCCAAAAGAGGTGAGCCGAGCCGAGCTTGAGGTACTTTGAGGAGCTGTTTATCCTGGGAACGTAGAGTTCTGAAAGGCACATACTGGGTTAGGAGAGATGAGAGATATGTAGGGGCAAGATTGTTGAGACACTTAAAGACTGTACTTTGAAGTCAACTCGGTATTGAACAGGAAGCCAGTGCAAAGACTTTATCACAGGGGTTATATGATCATATTTAGAACTCAAAGATATAATGTTAATGTTATGTCATGTTAATAACACGACCAGTAGCCTTTCAGGTGTTTGATGGCAGAGGTTGGGCAGGGTATGCGGGGATGTACAGGTGGTGAGCCGACAGAAAATCTGATAGGGTAGGGAAGCCGTGACAGGGTGTGTGTGAGGGTGTAGGGGGTGGTGAACAGGATGTGTGTGAGGGTGTAAGGGAGTGGTGACAGGGTGTTTGTGAGGGTGTAGGGGAGCCGTGACAGGGTGTGTGTGAGGGAGTAGGGGGCCGTGACAGGGTGTGTGTGAGGGAGTGTGTAGGGGTGGTGAACAGGATGTGTGTGAGGGGGTGTGGGGGGTGGTGACAGGGTGTTTGTGAGGGTGTAGGGGCAGCGTGACAGGGTGTGTGTGTGAGGGAGTAGGGGCAGTGACAGGGTGTGTGTGAGGGTGTAGGGGTGGTGAACAGGATGTGGTGTGAGGGGTGTAGAGGGGGTGGTGACAGGGGTGTTTGTGAGGGTGTGGGGGCCGGTGACAGGGGTGTGTGTGAGGGGTGTAGGGGAGCCGTGACAGGGGTGTGTGTGTGAGGGTGTGGGGGGTGGTGAACAGGATGTGTGTGAGGGTGTAGGGGAGTGGTGACAGGGTGTTTGTGAGGGTGTAGGGGAGCCGTGACAGGGTGTGTGTGAGGGAGTAGGGGAGCCGTGACAGGGTGTGTGTGAGGGTGTGGGGGGTGGTGACAGGATGTGTGTGAGGGTGTAGGGGAGTGGTGACAGGGTGTTTGTGAGGGTGTAGGGGAGCCGTGACAGGGTGTGTGTGAGGGTAGTAGGGGAGTGCGTGACAGGGTGTGTGTGAGGGGTGTAGGGGGTGGTGACAGGATGTGTGTGAGGGTGTGGGGAGTGGTGACAGGGTGTTTGTGAGGGGGTGTAGGGGGCAGTGACAGGGTGTGTGTGAGGGAGTGGGGGAGAGTGACAGGGTGTGTGTGTGAGGGTTGTAGGGGGGTGACAGGGTGTGTGTGAGGGGTGTAGGGGAGGGGGTGACAGGGTGTGTGTGAGGGGTGTAGGGGAGTGGTGACAGGGTGTGTGTGAGGGTGTAGGGGGGAGCAGTGACAGGGTGTGTGTGTGAGGGGTGTAGGGGGTGAGTGAACAGGATGTGTGTGAGGGTGTAGGGAGTGGTGACAGGGTGTTTGTGAGGGTGTAGGGGAGCAGTGACAGAGGTGTGTGTGTGAGGGTTGTGGGGGGCAGTGACAGGGGTGTGTGTGAGAGGTGTAGGGGGTGGTGACAGGATGTGTGTGGGGTGTAGGGGAGAGTGGTGACAGGGTGTTTGTGAGGGGTGTGGGGGCAGTGACAGGGTGTGTGTGGGGAGTGGGGGCAGTGGTGGGGGGTGTGTGAGGGTGTTGTAGGGAGGGGTGAGGTGACAGGGTGTGTGTGAGGGTGTAGGGGAGGGGTGACAGGGTGTGTGTGAGGGTGTAGGGGTGGTGACAGGGTGTGTGTGAGGGTGTAGGGGGTGGTGACAGGGTGTGTGTGTGAGGGGTGTGGAGACAGTGACAGGGTGTGTGTGAGGGTGTAGGGAGGTGGCAGGATGTGTGTGAGGGTGTAGGGGAGTGGTGACAGGATGTGTGTGAAGGGTGAGAGGGTGGGGGGAGGGTGGCAGGGTGTGTGTGAGGGTGTGCTAGGGGATGGGTGACAGGATGTGTGTGTGAGGTTGTAGGGGAGTGGTGACAGGATGTGTGGTGTGTGAGGGTGTAGGGGCTTGGTGACAGGTGTGTGTGAGAAGGGGTAGGGGAGGGGTGGCAGGAGTGTGTGTGTGAGGGTGTAGGGGAGTGGTGACAGGGTGTGTGTGAGGAGTGTAGGGGGTGGTGACAGGGTGTATGTGGGAGTGTAGGGGTGGTGACAGGGTGTGTGTGAGGGTGTAGGGGAGTGGAGTGACAGGGTGTGTGTGAGGGAGTGTAGGGGAGTGGTGACAGAGGGTGTTTGTGAGGGTGTGTAGGGGAGTGGTGACAGGGTGTGTGTGTGGGGTGTATAGGGAGTGGTGACAGGAGTGTGTGTGTATGTGAGAGTGGGGGAGAGGTGGCACAGGATGTGTGTGAGGGTGTCAGGGGAGGGTTAACAAAGGTGTGTGTGAGAGGTGTGGGGGGGAGGTAACAAGGCACAAGGGTGTGTGTGAAAGAGGGGGTAGGGGAAGAGGGTGGCCAGGGGTGTGTGTGTAGGGGTGTAGGGGAGAAGTTAACAGGGGTGTGTGTGAAGGCAGGTGTGGTGAGGTTGTGAGGGTGTGTGTGAGGGTGTAGGGGAGGCGTAACAGGGTGTGTGTGAGAGAGTAGGGGAGAGTAACAGGGTGTAGTGTGAGGGGTGTAGGGGAGAGAGTAACAGGGTGTGTGGTGTGTGTGAGCGGGTGGGGAGGGGTGACCAAGGGTGTAATGTGAGGGTGTAGGGGAGTGGTGACAGGGTGTGGTGTGTGTGTGAGGGTGTAGGGGGGTGGTGACAGGGTGTGTGTGAGGGAGTGTGGGGAGAGGGTGACAGGGTGTGTGTGAGGGGAGTAGGGGAGGGTGGCAGGGTTGGGTGGGTGAAAGGGGAGGGGGAGTGGAAACAGGGTGTGTGTGTGAGGGGTGTAGGGGAGTGGTGACAGGGTGTGTGTGAGGGGGTGGGGGAGAGGTAACAGGGGTGTGTGTGAGGGTGTAGGGGGAGTGGTGACAGGGTGTGTGTGAAGGTGCTTGGGGAAGGGGTGTGGGGGTGTGTGTGTGGGGTGTAGGGGAGGAAGTAACAGGGTGTGTGTGTGTGAGCGGGTAGAAAGAGGTGTTGTGGGGTGTGTGTGAAAGGGGGTGTAGGGGAGAGGTAACAGGGTGTGTGTGAGGGTGTAGGGGAGAGGGTAACAGTAGGTGGGTGTGTGTGCCAGGGTAGCAGGAGGGGTGACAGGGGGTGTGTGTGTGAGGGTGTAGGGGAGTGGTGACAGGGGGGTGTAGCCCAGAGGGTGGTAGGGAGGGTTAACAGGGTGTGTGTGAGGGTGTAGGGAGGGGTTAACAGGGGTGTGTGTGAGGGTGTGTAGGGAGGGGTTAACAGGGTGTGTGTGTGAGGGTGTAGAGAGGAGGGGTAACAGGGTGTGTGTGAGGGTGTAGGGAGGGGTGACAGGGTGTGTGAGGGGTGTAGGGGGGAGGGGTGACAGGGGTGTGTGAGGGGTGTAGGGGAGTGGTGACAGGATGTGTTTGAGGGGTGTAGGGAGGGGGTGACAGGATGTGTTTGAGGGTGTAGGGAGGGGTGACAGGGTGTGTGAGGGTGTATGGGAGGAGTGACAGGGGTGTGTGAGGGGTGTAGGGAGGGGGTGACAGGATGTGTTTGAGGGTGTAAAGGAGGGGGTGACAGGGTGTGTGTGAGGTGTAGGGGAGGGGTGACAGGGTGTGTGTGAGGGTGTAGGGAAGGGGTGACAGGATGTGTTTGAGGGTGTAGGGGAGGGGTATCAGGGAGTGTGTGAGGGGGAAGGGGAGGTGTAACAGGGTGTGTGTGAGGATGTAGGGGAGAGGTAACAGGGTGTGTGTGTGTGAAGGGGTAGGGAAGGGGTGACAGGGTGTGTGTGAGGGTGTAGGGGAGTGCTTACACATGTACTGTGTAATGTTTTCACAATGTGTAGCCAGTACTGTCTTGCTTTCAGACATCCATGGTCATTGGATGAGGGGTCATCAGTTGACTGGCCATCAGATACAGAGCCCATGAACAGACTAGAGGGTAATGGGTCACTCAGTTCAGGACCACCTGTAGACAGCTATGATTCTGTAGAGGAGGGACGATCCCCCATCCTAATCAAACTTCTGGATGAGGAGAGGGATGGCGTGGAAACAGTTGACAGTCCTCGACGGAAGTCAGGAGCGATCGGAGCGTCGCTGTCGACATGGTCAAAGAAAGATGGCCGTTTCTGTCATCGGCTTCACAAAGAGGATGGAGCCATATGGTAAAAATTTTGGTAAAATGATGAAATATGTGTACATATAGGAAAAAGTGGAAAATATAAGGCACTCACCCCCCTTTGAGTATTGTGTCGTTTTAATGAGTTCAAATTTCTATACCAAGCTAAAAAAAATTCCTGAACTTTTTTAGGGAATTGTTTTGGTTATAACTGAGGACACAATTTCAAACAATATCCCAAAAAATTATTTGTGACCCCTTATTTTTTGTTTCAAGTTGTTTTTTTAGGATGAGTCTTCAGGCAAAAAGACAAGGAGTTTTCTGTGTTGCAGAGGAAACAGACTCCCTGAACTAAACATTCACTTACAATAAGATAAGACCCCATAAAGCTGAAATGTTCCCACAAAATTTTGTGATCTGATTTTTTAACATTTCTACCCAAAAAAGTGATTTTATTTCACTTTACTGAGGGTCAAATGAGCTTATATTAATAATAATGATAATAAGGCTCTAAACTCATAGACATGATGGACATTATAACCCAAGCTGTCTGTCGAGGCGCTAGAAGGCTTTTTGTCATGACTTTTCCCACCAGGTATCCATTTTCTGCTGGGTGAACAGAGGTGAACTCCCATGCCTAAGGTGAGACCACATGTGTCACATGTGCTTCGTTGTGGGGCAGGAATGGTGTCCCAGAAACTCTCAGGAGTCAAGCTGCTAAATAGGTCACCCATCCAAGGACTCTCCGTGACCAGCTCCAACTGATTTCTGACCTGAGCTGCATGCACGTGACCAAACAACACCAAACACCACACACAATCACACAGCACTACACACCACACATCACCACACACCATCACACATCACCACACACAACTACACATCACACACACCACCACACACCACTACACACCACACCATCACACACCACATCATCACACACCACACACCATCACACATCACCACACACCACTACACATCACACACCACCACACATCACATATCACCACACACCACTACACACCACACACCACCACAAATCACACATCACCACACACACCCCACACCACCACACACCACCACACATCACACATCACCACACACCATCACACATCACCACACACCACCACAAACCACACATCACCACACACCATCACACATCACCACACACCACCACAAACCACACATCACCACACACCACCACACATCACACATCACCACACACCACTACACACTACACACCACACAGTCTTAACCCTGTGTTTTCTTATCATATATTTGATATCAAAAGACACTCAGTTGAGATTCTGCACACATATACATATGAAAAGAAAAGTGACATCATCATAATGAAAATATATCTTAATTTCACCTCACCTCACCTCACCTCACCTCTTTCCTCACCTCACCTCACCTCACCTCACCTTACCTCACCTCACCTCACCTCTTTCAGGAATGGTGATGAAGTGCAAGACGGAGATGAGCTTCAGTATATCAACCACATGAACATGCGTGGATGGAATCATCAAGAAGTCATGGAGACAATACTCCACCTGAAGAATGAAATCACTTTTGTAAGTACTGCCTAGTGCAATGTCATATACTCTTAAAATAATATGGGGAACTTCATTTTTAATTTACGATTGAAAAAAATTGGATATTTATCAGAGTCAGTCAAAGTTAATATGATAATGATGAATGTTTTGAGAGTGCATCACCACTTGCACTTTCTTATGACCATAGTTGTTTCTACAGTGAAAGATGACTTGTGTATGGCGTGAAATTTGCATGTGTATGATTTTCATTTTCAAACAAAATGAACAACTGGGAACAAACACTAACAACTATATGATGCAAGATGATTGTCAGAATTAATGGTCTACAGTGATTTATCAAAATTCTTGAAAACCATCAAAATCAAGAATGACACCCCATGCACGTGTATGGGGCTACTGCGTTGTGCAGGTGCATCCCATGCGTTGTGTTTAGGGGTGGTGATGAAGAGAAATGGTGGTGCATTCATATAAAGTTTGTTAACACTTATACTTCCTATCCAAATTGTAAGTTCAGGTTCCTTTACTTTTTAAAGAGCATATTTAGCAGGTGATCAAACATTCCTGTTACCATCTCGCCCCCCTACATTTGAAAAATCCTGTAGTCAATTAGAAAATTTTCAAGAGGGTCTGGGGAAACATGTTTGAAATGTAGTCACAGTTCAGAGGCACCTCCTTGAGTGAGTGAGTGAGTGTGGTTTTACGCCACTTTTCAGCAATATTCCAGCAATATCACGACGGGAGACACCACACGGTCTGGTGGTCAGACTCGCTGACTTGGTTGACAGATGTCATCGTATCCCAATTGCGTAGATCCATGCTCATGCTGTTGATCACTGAACTGTTAGGTCCATACGGCTGGAATATTGCAAAATGTCGAGTTATACAACCACCAAATCAAATGTCTAGCACTTCCAGCCATTCATTCAAACACTCACTCATGTCCTGCAAATAAATGTTAAGAAAGCTGTTGGTTTTTCCACAAAATTTGAAATGTAAACATTTTTTACTTTCTTTCATTTTTGTAGACTTTTTTCCGTGAGAAAAAGGACTTTGAACAAGATCACATTGAACGAACAGACGACCTATTCATTGAGATAACCTTCAGTGTGGGTGACCTTGACTCCGATGGCAATGGTATCTCCATAGGTACTACATCCACATTATTTATCAAGTGTTTCCATTTTAATGTTGCATGAAAATAATGCTTTCAATATTTATTTGGTTTCTTCCCATCTCCTTGAAGTTTGATGTTCAACTCATCTGTGCAGAAGATGCATGTATAGAAATGAATTCAGTGGATAGTTAAATTGAATTTTTTAACAAGAAGCGCATTGTAATTGAGTAAGCAATTTTTAGGAAAAAAATATTGTTTTTATAAAGGCCGACTAAATGATATTTGTTGTTAATTTTTAATCAAAATAATTATTGGAATTCATTACTTTTCAGGTGATGTAGCCTCCCACATCAAAGATGTCACCATTAAAATAGTCCAGAGTATTTCCTACAGAAGTACACTGAATGTTGTGTCATATTGTGGGACAAAACAAGTGAAAATAGGCCACGGCGCCTTGACACAACATTTCCTCCATGCCTCGCAGGACAATGTCACAATGGAGCAACAAACTTCAGATCAGGAAGCATGTAAGTATGGGAGCCAGTCAGTGTATCAACCTGTGTAGCAAACACTATCAACCAGATATAACACTGTTACTAATTCAAACTTATTTGGACATAATGACACAATCAGTCAGCACACACATTTTGTCTTGGTTGTTTAACGCCACACTCAGCAATATTCCAGCTATACGCAGCACAGCCTGTAAATAATTGAGCTTGGACCAGACAATCCAGTGATCAACAGCATGAGTATTAATCTAAGCATTTGGGATACAAGGACATGTGTCAACCAAGTCAATGAGCCTGACCACCCAAACCCATTAGTCGCCTCTTACGACAAGCATGGGTTGCTGAAGACCAATTCTAGCCCAGTTATTCACAGGTTCTCTAAAACTAATAAGTATTCTTTCATTAAACCAGGGCCCCATTTCACAAAGCTCTTGTAAGCCTTAAATCTTGTAGCTTTACTTGTAGTATTCCTACCTCCTATACTGTAACACTGACTTATGATAGTCGTAGCGCTACGAGAGCTTTGTGAAACGAGGCCCAGGTTGTCAACTGGTGTCTTTTGCTATTTATAGATGTTTTGAATTTATTGTTTTTTGGGGCCATTTTCAGTGTTGGTGTGTACCTAACATCATAATACCAAGTTTAAAACCCCAGCTCCTTTGTATTGTTTTGATAGCTCAATAACTAATTGTTTTATCGGCATTCTAGAAGTTGGTAAGTAAATGATGAATTGTATAACTTTATAGATAACAACTTCTTGATTGTTTATTATTAGAGCAACATTTCGGTGTGCATTCTTATTGAACTCGATCTAAACAAATGGGACAGAACAAAAATAGATAGAAATTCTCACATCTTGTTGGTTGAAAGTAGCAGCCAGATGATTGGTTCTTCTTTTCAATTTTGTGGGACTCAAGGCAAATTTGGGTGTCAGTAGGGTCAGATGACAGTGTATAATCATGTGAAGTCGTGGCTCATAGTTTCATCTACTTTGTCTTGCATTACATCAGAGTTGTTATTTTTCAGATTGTTTCAAGATGCACAGCTATTCTGTTCAGGATACTGAAGACCCTGACAAACTGGGGTGTATGGTGGCATTCCAAAGCTGCTTGAACAAAAAGTTCCTTATGTGCCGGAAGGGCTCGAACAGACTCTCCCTACAGCAGGTATACATTCTACTAAACATCACTGTCTCTACATATACCCATCACTCACATGTCACTGTCTTGACTGTACATGTACATCATATACATCATATACAGAAATATCATGGCCGGGAGAAATTCAAGTGATATATATATATACATCATATACAGAAATATCATAGTCGGGAGAAATTCAAGTGATATATATATATACATCATATACAGAAATATCATAGCCGGGAGAAATTCAAGTGATATATATATATACATCATATACAGAAATATCATAGTCGGGAGAAATTCAAGTGATATATATATATACATCATATACAGAAATATCATAGTCGGAGAAATTCAAGTGATATATATATATATATACATCATATACAGAAATATCATGGCCGGGAGAAATTCAAGTGATATATATATATATACATCATATACAGAAATATCATGGCCGGGAGAAATTCAAGTGATATATATATATACATCATATACAGAAATATCATAGTCGGGAGAAATTCAAGTGATATATATATATACATCATATACAGAAATATCATAGCCGGGAGAAATTCAAGTGATATATATATATACATCATATACAGAAATATCATAGTCGGGAGAAATTCAAGTGATATATATATATACATCATATACAGAAATATCATAGTCGGGAGAAATTCAAGTGATATATATATATATACATCATATACAGAAATATCATAGTCGGGAGAAATTCAAGTGATATATATATATATATACATCATACACAGAAATATCATAGTCGGGAGAAATTCAAGTGATATATATATGTACATCATACACAGAAATATCATAGTCGGGAGAAATTCAAGTGATACATACATGTACATCATACACAGAAATATCATAGTCGGGAGAAATTCAAGTGATATATATATATACATCATATACAGAAATATCATAGTCGGGAGAAATTCAAGTGATATATATATATACATCATATACAGAATATCATGGTCGGGAGAAATTCAAGTGATATATATATGTACATCATACACAGAAATATCAGAGTCGGGAGAAATTCAAGTGATATATATATATACATCATACACAGAAATATCATAGTCTGGAGAAATCAAGTGATATATATATATACATGTATACATCATATACAGAAATATCATAGCCGGGAGAAATTCAAGTGATATATATATATATACATCATATACAGAAATATCATAGTCGGGAGAAATTCAAGTGATATATATATATATATACATCATACACAGAAATATCATAGTCGGGAGAAATTCAAGTGATATATATATGTACATCATACACAGAAATATCATAGTCGGGAGAAATTCAAGTGATACATACATGTACATCATACACAGAAATATCATAGTCGGGAGAAATTCAAGTGATATATATATATACATCATATACAGAAATATCATAGTCGGGAGAAATCAAGTGATATATATATATACATGTATACATCATATACAGAAATATCATAGTCGGGAGAAATTCAAGTGATATATATATATACATCATATACAGAAATATCATAGTCGGGAGAAATTCAAGTGATATATATATATATATATATACATCATACACAGAAATATCATAGTCGGGAGAAATTCAAGTGATATATATATGTACATCATACACATAAATATCATAGTCGGGAGAAATTCAAGTGATAGATATATGTACATCATACACAGAAAAATCATAGTCGGGAGAAATTCAAGTGATACATATATGTACATCATACACAGAAATATCATAGTCGGGAGAAATTCAAGTGATATATATATGTAGATCATACACAGAAATATCACAGTCGGGAGAAATTCAAGTGATACATATATGTACATCATACACAGAAATAACATAGTCGGGAGAAATTCAAGTGATACATATATGTACATCATACACAGAAATATCATAGTCGGGAGAAATTCAAGTGATACATATATGTACATCATACACAGAAATATCACAGTCGGGAGAAATTCAAGTGATACATATATGTACATCATACACGGAAATAACATAGTCGGGAGAAATTCAAGTGATACATATATGTACATCATACACAGAAATAACATAGTCGGGAGAAATTCAAGTGATACATATATGTACATCATACACAGAAATATCATAGTCGGGAGAAATTCAAGTGATACATATATGTATATCATACACAGAAATAACATTGTCGGGAGAAATTCAAGTGATACATATATGTACATCATACACGGAAATATCATAGTCGGGAGAAATTCAAGTGATACATATATGTACATCATACACGGAAATATCATAGTCGGGAGAAATTCAAGTGATACATATATGTATATCATACACAGAAATATCATAGTCGGGAGAAATTCAAGTGATATATATATGTACATCATACACAGAAATATCACAGTCGGGAGAAATTCAAGTGATACATATATGTACATCATACACGGAAATAACATAGTCGGGAGAAATACAAGTGATACATATATGTACATCACACACGGAAATAACATAGTCGGGAGAAATTCAAGTGATACATATATGTACATCATATACAGAAATATCATAGTCGGGAGAAATTCAAGTGATACATATATGTACATCATACACAGAAATAACATAGTCGGGAGAAATTCAAGTGATACATATATGTACATCATACACTGAAATATCATAGTCGGGAGAAATTCAAGTGATACATATATGTACATCATACACGGAAATATCATAGTCGGGAGAAATTCAAGTGATACATATATGTACATCATACACAGAAATATCATAGTCGGGAGAAATTCAAGTGATATATATATGTACATCATACACAGAAATATCATAGTCGGGAGAAATTCAAGTGATACATATATGTACATCATACACAGAAATATCATAGTCGGGAGAAATTCAAGTGATACATATCTGTACATCATACACAGAAATAACATAGTCGGGAGAAATTCAAGTGATACATATGTGTACATCCTGCACAGAAATATCATAGTCGGGAGAAATTCAAGTGATATATATATATATATACATCATATACAGAAATATCATAGTCGGGAGAAATTCAAGTGATATATATATATACATCATATACAGAAATACCATAGTCAGGAGAAATTCAAGTGATATATATATATACATCATATACAGAAATATCATAGTCGGGAGAAATTCAAGTGATATATATATATATATACATCATATACAGAAATATCATAGTCGGGAGAAATTCAAGTGATATATATATATACATCATATACAGAAATATCATAGTCGGGAGAAATTCAAGTGATACATATATATACATCATACACAGAAATAACATAGTCGGGAGAAATTCAAGTGATACATATATGTAAATCATACACGGAAATATCATAGTCGGGAGAAATTCAAGTGATACATATATGTACATCATACACAGAAATATCATAGTCGGGAGAAATTCAAGTGATATATATATGTACATCATACACAGAAATATCATAGTCGGGAGAAATTCAAGTGATACATATATATATATACATCATATACAGAAATATCATAGTCGGGAGAAATTCAAGTGGTATATATGCATCATATACAGAAATATTATGGTCGGGAGAAATTCAAGTGATATATATATATACATCATATACAGAAATATCATAGTCGGGAGAAATTCAAGTGATATATATATATATATATACATCATATACAGAAATATCATAGTCGGGAGAAATTCAAGTGATATATCTACATCATATACAGAAATATTATGGTCGGGAGAAATTCAAGTGATATATATATATACATCATATACAGAAATATCATAGTCGGGAGAAATTCAAGTGATATATATATATATATACACATCATATACAGAAATACATGTATCATAGTCGGGAGAAATTCAAGTGATATATATATATACATCATACACAGAATATCATATTCGGGAGAAATTCAAGTGATATATATATATACATCATATACAGAAATATCATAGTCGGAAGAAATTCAAGTGATATATATATATACATCATATACAGAAATATCATAGTCGGGAGAAATTCAAGTGATATATATATATATACATCATATACAGAAATATCATAGTCGGGAGAAATTCAAGTGATATATATATATACATCATATACAGAAATATCATAGTCGGGAGAAATTCAAGTGATATATATACATCATATACGGAAATATCATGGTCGGGAGAAATTCAAGTGATATATATACATCATATACAGAAATATCATAGTCGGGAGAAATTCAAGTGATATATATATATATACATCATACACAGAAATATCATTTTCGGGAGAAATTCAAGTGGTATATATATATACATCATACACAGAAATATCATAGTCGGGAGAAATTCAAATGATACATATATATACATCATACACAGAAATATCATAGTCGGGAGAAATTCAAGTGATACATATATATACATCATACACAGAAATATCATAGTCGGGAGAAATTCAAGTGATATATATATATACATCATATACAGAAATATCATAGTCGGGAGAAATTCAAGTGATATATATACATCATATACGGAAATATCATGGTCGGGAGAAATTCAAGTGATATATATACATCATATACAGAAATATCATAGTCGGGAGAAATTCAAGTGATATATATATATATACATCATACACAGAAATATCATTTTCGGGAGAAATTCAAGTGGTATATATATATACATCATACACAGAAATATCATAGTCGGAGAGAATTCAAATGATACATATATATATCATCATACACAGAAATATCATAGTCGGGAGAAATTCAAGTGATACATATATATACATCATACACAGAAATATCATAGTCGGGAGAAATTCAAGTGATACATATATGTACATCATACACAGAAATATCATAGTCGGGAGAAATTCAAGTGATATATATATGTACATCATACACAGAAATATCATAGTCGGGAGAAATTCAAGTGATACATATATATATACATCATATACAGAAATATCATAGTCGGGAGAAATTCAAGTGATATATATGCATCATATACAGAAATATTATGGTCGGGAGAAATTCAAGTGATATATATATATATATACATCATATACAGAAATATCATAGTCGGGAGAAATTCAAGTGATATATATATATATATATACATCATATACAGAAATATCATAGTCGGGAGAAATTCAAGTGATATATCTACATCATATACAGAAATATTATGGTCGGGAGAAATTCAAGTGATATATATATATACATCATATACAGAAATATCATAGTCGGGAGAAATTCAAGTGATATATATATATATACACATCATATACAGAAATACATGTATCTTAGTCGGGAGAAATTCAAGTGATATATATATATACATCATACACAGAATATCATATTCGGGAGAAATTCAAGTGATATATATATATATACATCATATACAGAAATATCATGGTCAGGAGAAATTCAAGTGATGTATATATATACATCATATACAGAATATCATGGTCAGGAGAAATTCAAGTGAGCACTGGAACCATGTGGCTGCAATTTCTCCAACTTTCTCTTTAATGACAAAGTATCACTCAGACACAAACAAGTTTCTAGAATTATATGTGACTTTCGATCATTAACAGTTTTGTGGGGTTTTTTGTCTTTCAGATTGACATTGATGACAAGCTCAAGGTGAAGGCTGCAAACAGCCCTTGTCTGTTTCTCCAGACAGTCAATGGTAGTGGTGACTTCTACTTAGAGTCTGTAGCCTATGAAGGTAAGCACTCAAGATTCAAGGGCAGAAATGTCTGGTCTCCCCTGCAGTTGTCTGAGCAAATATATTGCAGTAACCCATGCTTGTCTCTCCTTGCAGTTGTCTGAGCAGAATAGGTTGCAGTAACCGACTCTTGTCCCCTTGTAGTTGTCTGAGCAGAATAGGTTGCAGTAACCGACTCTTGTCCCCCTTGCAATTGTCTGAGCAGAATAGGTTGCAGTAATCGAAAAATGATATCACTTCATGCAAAAATTTAGAAATTCAATTCTCAATTTCAATTTTCTTGCACAGACTTAACTGCCATTACCATGCACACATCTTGTTCACGGAAATGAAGAATAATGTCTTCAACTCCAAATACTGAGTTCCCATCAGTATCTTCTGTAACCTCCCTGCACATGGACAACTGATTGAAGACACCTCCTCATTCCTTGGCTCAATCTCAGGATTTCATTCTGAGAAGTCCTGTTCCATTCCTAATGCAAAGCAGACAGGTGGGTCTCTCTGTCGAACAAGACAGCCTAAAATGTCCCAAGGATGCTCAATGGGGTTGAGATCTTGTCTCATGGCTGGCCTGGTGGGATGGTCTCAACAGCATTCTGTTCCAAGAACTGGATGACAGCAGTCACCTCTGTAAGTCTTGGCATTGTCATCCTTAATGATGGGTCTTGTGGCAAGAGGATTGTTATCAAAATGTGGGACAACAGCCCTCTCAAAGATCTCCTTTGACATCGAGGCCCATTTAAGCTATCACGAATGGTAATGAGGTCCATCTTGCACCTTAAGAAAATGAATCCCAATATCATGATTGACCCTCCCCAAAAAGGAACCGTCTTCTGGAGATTGCGGGGAACCGTCTTCTGGAGATTGCGGGGAACCGTCTTCTGGAGATTGCGGAGAACCGTCTTCTGGAGATTGCGGGGAACCGTCTTCTGGAGATTGCGGGGAACCGTCTTCTGGAGGTTGCGGGGAACCGTCTTCTGGAGATTGCGGGAAACCATAGCTGTGTTCCTTTGTCTCCAGACATGTGCACGACCATCCACCATATGCAATAAGAAATGACTCTCATCAGAAAAACCCATGAAGTTCAGGGTTAGAATATTGGCCTTCAGTAACCCATGCTTGTCGTAAGAGGCGACTAACAGGATCAGGTGGTCAGGCTCACTGACTTGGTTGACACATGTCATCGGTTCCCAGTTGCGCAGATCGATGCTCATGCTGTTGATCACTGGATTGTCCAGACTCAATTATTTACAGACCGCCGCCATATAGCTGTAATATTGCTGAGTGTGGCGTAAAACTAAACTCATTCACTCACTCACTCATCAGGAAAGTGAACCCCCTGCCATGATGCAATGTTCCAGAGAACACTTTGGTTACACCAGGCAAGCCGTGCTGCTTTGTAAGCTGGAGGGTTTTATATGCTTGATGGGTCTTCTGGACCAGTATCCTGCTGCTTACAGCTGATTCCTGGCCGTCCCGCAGGAAATGGCTCTCCCTGGTAACGTCTGCTGCCTTAATGATATGTCCCATGAACAGCACCTAACAAGTCGCATCAATGCTCTATCCTCTCTTGTTGTTGTTTTATGGGGTCTATCCTCTCTTATTGTTGTTTAATGGGGTCTATCCTCTCTTATTGTTGTTTTATGGGGTCTATCCTCTCTTATTGTTGTTTAATGGGCTCTATCCTCTCTTATTGTTGTTTTATGGGCTCTACCCTCTCTTGTTGTTTTATGGGCTCTATCCTCTTATTGTTGTTTTATGGGCTCTATCCTCTCGTTGTTTTATAGGCTCTATCCTCTCTTATTGTTTTTTTATGGGGTCTATCCTCTCTTATTGTTGTTTTAAGTGCTCTATTCTCTCTTATTGTTGTTTTATGGGCTCTATCCTCTCTTGTTGTTTTATGGGCTCTTTCCTCTCTTATTGTTGTTTTATGGGCTCTATCCTCTCTTGTTGTTTTATTTGACTCTATCCTCTCTTGTTGCTGTTTTATCGGGTCTATCCTCTCTTGTTGTTGTTTTATGGGGTCTATCCTGTCTTGTAGTTGTTTTATGGGCTCTATCCTCTCTTGTTGTTTTATGGGCTCTATCCTCTCTTATTGTTGTTTTTTGGGCTCTATCCTCTGTTGTTGTTTTATGGGCTCTATCCTCTCTTATTGTTGTTTTATGGGGTCTATCCCCTCTTGTTGTTTTATGGGTTCTATCCTCTCTTATTGTTGTTTTATGGGCTCTATCCTCTCTTATTATTGTTTGATTGGGTCTATTCTCTCTTATTGTTGTTTTATGGGGTCTATCCTATCTTATTGTTGTTTTCTGGGGTCTATCCTCTCTTGTTGTTTTATGGGCTCTATCCTCTCTTATTGTTGTTTTATGGGCTGTATCCTCTCTTGTTGTTGTTTGATGGGGTCTATCCTCTCTTGTTGTTTTATGGACTCTATCCTCTCTTATTGTTGTTTTATGGGCTCTATCCTCTCTTATTGTTCTTTGATGGGGTCTATTCTCTTATTGTTGTTTTATGGGCTCTATCCTCTCTTGTTGTTGTTTTATGGGCTCTATCCTCTCTTGTTGTTTTATAGGCTCTATCCTCTCTTGTTGTTTTATGGGCTCTATCCTCTCTTATTGTTGTTTTATGGGCTCTATCATCTCTTGTTGTTTTATGGGCTCTATCCTCTCTTGTTGTTTTATGGGCTCTATCCTCTCTTGTTGTTTTATGGGCTCTATCCTCTCTTATTGTTGTTTTATGGGTTCTATCCTCTCTTATTGTTGTTTGATGGGGTCTATCCTCTCTTCTTGTTGTTTTATGGGCTCTATCCTCTCTTATTGTTGTTTTATGGGTTCTATCCTCTCTTATTGTTGTTTTATGGGCTCTATCCTCTCTTATTGTTCTTTGATGGGGTCTATTCTCTCTTATTGTTGTTTTATGGGCTCTATCTTCTCTTGTTGTTTTATGGGCTCTATCCTCTCTTATTATTGTTTGATTGGGTCTATTCTCTCTTATTGTTGTTTTATGGGGTCTATCCTATCTTATTGTTGTTTTATGGGGTCTATCCCCAGCAGGCACATCAACGTTGTTTCAACGTTGAGAATAGGTTGATCCTCAACGTTGAAAATAGATTGAAAATAGGTTGTATATGAAAGTTTTTTTGACGTAGATATCCGACGTGGAATCAACGTTGAAGTTTGACCGATTATCAACGTTGAAAAAAGGTTGATCCTCAACGTTGAAAATAGGTTGTATATGAAAGTTTTTTTTGACGTAGATATCCGACGTGGAATCAACGTTGAAGTTTGACCGATTATCAACGTTGAGAATAGGTTGATCCTCAACGTTGAAAATAGATTGAAAATAGGTTGTATATGAAAGTTTTTTTGACGACGTGGAATCAATGTTGAAGTCTGACATATTATTAACGTTGAAAATGGGTTGTTCCGTGGTTGTGTCTGGGAGGTATTACGCTTTCCTGTAAATAGACTCGCATTTCATCTTTAAACTACAATAAAGTAGCACCAAACTCCTGCATCCAGCTAAAATACCCCAAAAGCTACCTGCAATAAACAGTGTTCAAACAGAAAATTGCAGTAAAAATATTTACCTGATAAAACACTTGGTTAAAATTCCACATTCAATATAATGTACATTTAAGTTTTATGTCGTTGGACGTATAATTCCAGTAAGAAGAAAAGAGTATTCCAAATTAAGAAAAACTATTTACTGTTGTATTGTTACCTTGAAAATGTGAAAATTGTCCCGAGAAGACATTTTGTCTGAATTTCAGCTCTTAGACAGACCCCTGAATAAACACAATGCAATTACTTTCACCATGAAAGGGATCCAAGATGACCAGGAACTATACCTGAAGACAGCACATAAAACAAGTCACTTTTCATGAAATCTTTATGAACACACACTCACACAGAAAACGTGGTTTAATGCATAATGTAAAACATCACACATGACATTGTCTGTAGGTGATCTCTGTTGTGCTAATAACACAATATCATCTGCATATAGCATCAAAGTGACATTTACGCCACCAATTTCAATACCACAGTTCAGATTTTTCAACACAATTACAACTCCAAAAACACAATTATCAGCTCCTCTTCTTTCTGCCACTCCCTGCCTGGCGGTCAGGCGGATACTTCAGAAACATTCCTAACTCTTTCTTGAAATTTGCTTCGGATGCATTCCCATCTCATTCCCTTGAGATAGGACACATTCTGAAATTTTATATTTAAATACTTGAATAAGTTATATGGAAGATATATTGTCTTAAATGATTCAAGTATTTGTTTAATCAATCACTTGAAAGGTTCATTTCACTGCTGTAACTTGGCATGTGAACATATGAACAGCATCAATACAAAATATGACGAAAAGTGTAAACAATTTATATTTTCAACCGAAGGAATGGAAGTTTTCTTAAACATTTTCAAAGAAAATCCTCAATTGCAAGTTGATTATTTAATTAGACTATGAATTACAGGCAGGATGAATTAGACGATGCTTTACTGTCATATATTATTTGCTATGGTCATGATGAAAATGCTGCACTTGGTAATTAACTTACCAGAGATGATTGAATACAACCTTGTATTCTTAAAAGAAAACTTGCCGTTTTGCCCATCAACATTCATTCTTGACATCAAATTGTTTGACATTGTCCTGCAAAACAATGGAAGATTGTTGTTATTCTGTCAGATTTAGTTTTCTTTAGAGATTCTCGGAAATGATTATTTCAAATTAATAGGAGTTGAACTGATGTAGAAATTTTGCTACCTGGAGTCATAAATTGTAACAAAAGCCATTTTACATTAAATGATAAGAAAACAAAATGGGTGGTGGTTTACAGGTCAAAGAACAAGTCTATTGTGGGAGGTCTCCCAACACCATTTGTTCCCAAACACAAGGAAGTATGGATCATGGAGTTCTGAAAACAATAATGAGCTCTCATAAGTATACAATATATTCTCTATTATCTACTCTCTCTCTCTCTTTGTCAT